CCCCATCACACCAGTTCTTGCCACGCTCTGCTGGCTCCCAATCACCGAATGGATCAATTTCAAGATCATCTCACTCATTTTCAAATCCCTTCATCACCTCTCACCTGCCAACCTATTCAATCTGTTTACCCCTCACTCCACTACCTGTTGCCTCCGCTCATCTGACTCCGGTCTCCTGTTTGTCCTTCGTTTCCTCCGCCAACATCAGATGGTCGTGCCTTCAGCCACTACGGCACAAAAGTCTGGAACTCTCTGCCTCAATCCCACCGCCTTGCCCCCTCCCTCCCCTTTGAAAAGGGTTCCAGAGAGTGTCTAAAAGCTCATCCAATGGAGGGAGTTGCTGGGGTCATAAGGGCACATGAAATCATGGAGGTGGTGTGAGACAAAAAGTTACAAAAATGTGGATGAGAGTTTTGAGGGTCCGAGTGGGCAATGTTGAGAAGATGGAGGAAAGTCAACTTGATCAGAGCCCGGATGAAAGATTTAAAGAGGTGAGGGTCAAATGCTGACATTCCACACAGGTTCTGTGAGATGGAGTGAGCAACTGTGGAGGTGGATACGGTCAGTGCCTAAAATGAGGAGGCACTTAATGGGAGTTTAGCAAGATAATGTTTATCATGGAACTGCGAATCATTCCAATTCACCCACATTCATTCTCAATACTATAGAACGCACGACTGTTTCTGACATTTGTTTTTCATGCCTCAGATGGTGGTGGGCGAGTAGGTGGGTGGCTGTGCATATCCTCCAATGAGCATACTAGCAAGTCAGATGCAATTTTTTTTTACTAAAGAAAGAAACAAGGAATTGCAGTGATGAGAGAAGCTGGCACTTCAAATTATGCACAATTTCCGTTGACCTGGGAAGGTCAGGCTGGATGATTCATGTAAGGGTTCATGAAAATAATAAGAAAACCTTGGATCAGAGCCAGTGGAACAGCACTACAGCAGTACAATAACTGAAAGCATTGGTTAAATAAAAAATCCAAGTCCAAAGAAACTGAAAGACAAACTCGGTCCAAATCGTTGTCACAACTGGTAGGTAGGGCTGAAAGTAGAGAATCTGCCCAAACAACTTTCAGTCACCAGGTCTTATTAAACGTACATCATAAACGTACTTCAAATTATATAGTCTCTTGATTTTATCAGTTCTAGCTACTGTAATCGAGGAACAATACTTTGAAAATGTATAGCTGCTGCTTGATGTACAACTGACAGTAGAAACTTTAATATAGTAATTGAAAAAATAATGGTTCTGAACTTGTATTCTTTACTCTATAGCACAGCATAGTGTCAGCCTGGCTCAGTTGCTAGCAATCTTGCCTCTGATTTAGAAGATTGTGGGTTTAAGTCACACGTTGGAACGTTGAGCTCACAGTCGAGGCTGATACACTCCAACCCAGTGCTGGAGGTGGTGTCGCATTGTTGGATGTGCCGCCATTCGGGTGAGATGTTCAACCAAGGTCTTGTCTGCCTGTTCAGGTGGATGTTAAAGATCCCATTAGCACTACTTGAAGAGAGAAGTGAGTTTCTCTCAGTGTTCTAGCCAACAATCCCGCAGATAAAAATTGATCATTCACTTCACGGCTGTTTGTGGGACTTTGTTGTGTGCAAATTGGCTGCCACATTCACCTACACACAACAATATTTATATAGGTTGCTTAACGTGAGGTAGTGTTTGAGAGCAATTAAATAACTGTGTACAAATAAATAGTCTCTATACATCACAATAAAATCTTGAAGGACTTTGAGACATATTAACACCATCATAAGGTGCTATATCAAATGCAATTATTAATATAAATTGTTACTAAACCCAATATTTGTCCTAAGAGTATCAGGTTTAGATAATCTTGGAAAATCAAGTGTTTTCTGCCCATCTTAATCCACTGAATTGAACATGATTTGTTTCTATTATTACATAAAATATCACCTAGCATTTCACAGGCATCTGTTGGCATTTATAAGTCATTTTAAAAGTCAAATAATATGTAAAATAGCATTTGCATCACTCTAGGTAAGTTTGTGTTAAATTAAGATTTTGTTGATTGAATATTTGCACGGAGTAAATATTACAGTTTAGTTTTAATGTTGAATTGGTAGATAACCTGAAAGATACTAGTCCATTAATGTATATTCAAACCTAGAATCTTCCTGATTTATCAAGATAAATATCACTCCTAATCAAGAAATATTCAATCAATAAAAAAATGATTTGGTTGGCCAACCAAAAAGGTTTCTGTATATGTCAGACACCCGGCTGACAAAAAAAGTTAGAAAGAAATTCCCATCTCTGATAATGTAAACTAGAATATATTGTGAGAAGCATCTCATTACAGAAGGCATCATGATTGGGGGATGAGTTATGAGGATAGGTTGAGCAATTTAGGCCTATATTCTTTAGAATATAGAAGAATGAGAGGTGATCTTATAGAAACCTATAAGATTATTAAGGGGCATGACAAAATAGATAGTGGGAGACTTTTTCCCTTGTTTGGAGAAACTATAACCAGGGGTCACAGTGTTAAAATTAGGGGTAAGCCCTTTTACACTGAGTAGAGGAAAAACGTCTTCACTCAGAGGGTAGTGAATTTATGGAATTCTCTACCCCAAAGGGCTGTAGATGCTCAGTCCTTGAACATATTCAAGACTGAGATTGATCGATTTCTTGTAGATAAAGGGATTAAGGGATATAGGGATAAGGCGAGTAGGTGCAGTTAGAATAGATCAGCCATGATCTTATTGAATGGCGGGGCAGACTAGAGGGGCCGAATGGCCTACTCCTGCTCCAAATTCTTATAAGCCTTGAAAGTATTGGGACAGTAAATTTTGTGATAATACAAAGTATCTTTGTAATAATACAATCTTACCTTATTGCAATGTACATCTTTATTCTTCTTTCTCTGTCAAAGTAGTCAGAGGGAAAAAAAAGTAGAATACAGCCACAAAGACTTACATTGCAGTTTTGATGAATTTGATATGCTTCAGATTTTTACACACACAATGCCAAATTACATCAATTCCACTGCAATCACTTTAAGTTACAGTCAAACTGTCCTTTGAGGGAAAAATACTGAGAAACTAAAAAAACTAACACTACTAATGAAGCAATGGGAAAGTATTCAAATATGTTTATTTGTGCTAATTGCTCAACACAACATTTATGAATTGATTTCTAAACAGTAATAAGTTTGAGCAGAGATAATGAAAGCAATTAAACAAAAATAAAAATATAAAAAGTTACTTCACTACAAAGTTTATTCTCAACTACCCTTCTGCTTCTCCCTTATTTGGCATCCAATCCTGCCAATGTACAGTGCTCCAAGATGCTATCCAGTTGTTTTTCCAAACTTTTTCCCTTGTTTGGAGAAACTATAACCAGGGGTCACAGTGTTAAAATTAGGGGTAAGCCCTTTTACACTGAGTAGAGGAAAAACGTCTTCACTCAGAGGGTAGTGAATTTATGGAATTCTCTACCCCAAAGGGCTGTAGATGCTCAGTCCTTGAACATATTCAAGACTGAGATTGATAGATTTCTTGTAGATAAAGGGATTAAGGGATATAGGGATAAGGCGAGTAGGTGCAGTTAGAATAGATCAGCCATGATCTTATTGAATGGCGGGGCAGACTAGAGGGGCCGAATGGCCTACTCCTGCTCCTAATTCTTATAAGCCTTGAAAGTATTGGGACAGTAAATTTTGTGATAATACAAAGTATCTTTGTAATAATACAATCTTACCTTATTGCAATGTACATCTTTATTCTTCTTTCTCTGTCAAAGTAGTCAGAGGGAAAAAAAAGTAGAATACAGCCACAAAGACTTACATTGCAGTTTTGATGAATTTGATATGCTTCAGATTTTTACACACACAATGCCAAATTACATCAATTCCACTGCAATCACTTTAAGTTACAGTCAAACTGTCCTTTGAGGGAAAAATACTGAGAAACTAAAAAAACTAACACTACTAATGAAGCAATGGGAAAGTATTCAAATATGTTTATTTGTGCTAATTGCTCAACACAACATTTATGAATTGATTTCTAAACAGTAATAAGTTTGAGCAGAGATAATGAAAGCAATTAAACAAAAATAAAAATATAAAAAGTTACTTCACTACAAAGTTTATTCTCAACTACCCTTCTGCTTCTCCCTTATTTGGCATCCAATCCTGCCAATGTACAGTGCTCCAAGATGCTATCCAGTTGTTGCATATGATTATGATTTTGAATCCATAAAGTGCTTCAAAATCACCATTTTGAAACCCTCGTAGACACATTCATAACTTCCAGGCTTGACTATGCAAACTCCCTGCTTGTTGACCTCCCCAACTCCTCCCTCCACAGGCTGTAGATCATCCAGAACTCAGCAGCCTGTGTCCTCTCCCGCACCAGGATCCACAATCCTATCACCCCATCCTCGCCTGACTCCATTGGCTTCTCATCACACAATGGATACAGTTCAAGATCCTAGTCCTCACCTTCAAAGCCCTCCATCGTCTTGCTCCCCCCCTACCTCTGCGACCTCCTAACCCCTTACCAACCTGCTCGCTCCCTCCACTCAGCGGGCTCCGGCCTGCTTCATGTCCCCCGCCTCACCCGCCCATTGGTGGGCAGGTCTTCAACCACTCTGCCCCCATCCTCTGGAACTCTATCCTGCAGTCCCTCCACCACGCCCTTTCCCTTGCCTCCTTCAAGACCCATCTCAAGACCCTGCTCTTTGACCGTTCCTTCAATCACCCTCTTTGCTCGCGCCCCCCCCCCACCGTCTACCCTCCCCAATCCCAACCCCCAGCTTGGGTCCGAAACTGACTGTCCAGGGCCTTGGGTTGTCCTCCCAACATGAAAGGAGCTATACAAATGTAATTTTCTTGTCGGTAGATAATCTGAAAGATAATGGTTCATTAATGTATATTCAAACCTAGAATCTTCCTGACATTTGGTGTGCACAAAAAGCCACATAAAAGCTAATGACAAAAATGTATCAAAAATAAAAACGTGTCAATCAATATTCAGGATTTATTAATAACTAACAGGGTTGATTTGTTTTAGTGACAAATATAAACAATTAGTTTGTTTTTCACTGAAATCTTGTCCACAAATATTGACACAATCCCCCCGTCTACAAGCCAATGGATCATTAAATTATATAAATGCAAGAATCAAAACATTCGACCAGTAGATGTACAATGCGCTGGCTGCGAATACAGTCAGTTACCATCAATCATCAACACGGTATTTTTTAGTGACAGCCTTAGAAATATTCTATAGCAGTTCTGAATTTTCACACGTTTATCCCTGCCACCTGTGCCATATCTCTGAGCACACTGTAGGCTGCTTCTCTGTAGGTATTTGAAAGCTCTTTGGCTCGCTTTATTTCTTTGAAGTTCATCCTCATGTTAGATAAACAGCGTGTTTGGTCCTGATAGGTATTGCTTGCGAGCTTCACCCTTTCAAGGTTTTCTTCTTCTGACTGTACCATTGAGTTAATCATCTCCTGCAGTTTGGGGTCTGCTGCTATTATGGATTTAGTGGAAGCACACAGCTCTTTCACACACTGTTGTACCTGCTGAAGTTGCTTTGGAATTGATTGTGTGGACTCTACAGAAAGTGAGAAGTTGTAGCCTTTCATTTCTACATTCACTGCAAAACCACCTAGAAAAGAAAAAAAGTTGTTTCACTATTATTTCCTCCTTCTCTTATACCTTTCAAAGGCCTTATAATGTGTAGCGCACTGCATTCCTCAATCTTCCCTCCTTCCTACCTAAAATAATCAAGCTTTAAAATTCATTTGGAGTCATCAAATTACTACTTTGTGATCCAACGCCTTCTCCTTCACTCATGTCAGTGGTGCTATCTTGCACTATGGGATTTGACACTTTAATAATAATATTCCTTGCATTTAATATAGAGCCTTATCGCGTTGTTTCACAGAATATATTGTAAAGTGGATTGACTGTGTATTTTGTGGGTGATTTTATTTCGTTTATTTTTTAGTAAATATGTTGTTCTTTTTATAATATTTTATAATCTATACTAATAAAACAACGCCTGTCTGTGTGTCAGCCAAGATCTCAATAACCGATTGATGTAGAGACATGATTTACACCTCACCAGAAAGACCTTGCATGTAGGAGTGTCATGGGCATATATGTTGTGTCGGGGGATTTCCAATCGTTGATGAGTTATGACCTAAACAAGCTCATTACACACGTATGGCAGTTTTGTGTTTTGCGCTGCAGTTACTCCCAGCAGCCGCACGGACTCCCAGTGGCTCTCTGCATCACAAAGCCCGTACGCATTCATGCACACACCCACGCAGACAAAGCCAAGCAGTGGGAACAAGATAAAGATGCCAAAGTGAACATCAAGCCTTTCAAGTATAAATAAAAATGCCAGACAAAAGAAAGAAGGCCAATTAAATGAAACTGAAGAACAAAGAAGACAGCTGGATTGCAATAACTTGAGGATCTGCCGGATCACACAGTAAACCCTTTCAGTTAGCGCAGCTTTGATAAGATCTTCTATCATTGATGAGCTATGACCCAAACAAGCTCATTACACATGCATGGTAGTTTTGCTTAAGGTGTACACACAGTGTTGATGGCATGTTAAATGGTTTGTGAGTGGTATCACTGAAATCTACACTCCATATTGGATCCTTTGGTTGCAAGTGGAGCTATATATAACTATAAGCAGTATATATTTATAATGTTTGGTGTCTTTTGTACCTAGGCTTCCCTGCCAAAAAACTATCTTCTAACTTTCCTCTTCAACCCTACAGCCACCTCCTCTTTCTCTTTAGCTCAGCGTCAAACTAACCCATTGTTAAGCACTCTGAGAAGCTACCATGCGTGAAGGGTGTTGTATAATGCAAGCTGTTGTTGTTTCAATTATGAAAATAGGTAGTTATCATAATCTACAACTCCCACCCTTGACTCCTGCCCGAGTGAACACCTAGAATTTGCTTGTAGGGTGTAACACGTTCTTTGAACAAAGCAACTAATAACAAGCAACAACAACTTGCAATTATATAGTGCTCTCCATACAGGGTAGCGTCTCAGAGTGCGTAACAGTGGTGGAAATCTGAGGGGTTAATGCAAGGGGAGTTAAGGTGGAGGTTGAAATCACCAATTATGAGCAAGTGTTCAGTTCAGAGGGACAGGGATGACAGGAGATATCAATGAGGAGTCATGTACTGTATATCCAAGTTACCAAAAGAGGGAATTAGTTTAATTGCAATCTCTTCATTGAGGTCGATATTTTAAAAGCAGCAGAATACACAATGCTTTTTGATACATGATTGGACAAAATAAGGTCTTGTTTGTAAGATTTCCAGAAAGAACTGTAACTGGTGAATTCTGGATATATAGGGCCCACCCTCTGGCTTTCCATTTAGTAGCTGATCTTGTTTGACATATTGGGCCTCAGGTGTTTGAGGAAGCTGCAGCAGGTTAGCCACTTGTGCCAAATATATTTTCAAGGCAGATTCCAAAGATATTTTCTCTTCAACCACAAACATTTGGATGAACAATGCTTGTCGGAACTACAATATATTTTGGTGCTGGCCATTTAAGGAAGTAAAGACAAACTGTTGTCAGAAAATAAACTCCCACAAGCTGACACTTTAGATTTATCCACAAGTAGCAATGAGGAAGTGCCTCAAGTCAAGCAAAAGGGAAGAGAACACTTGGATCAGCCTACAGAGGTTTGTTTACACAGAAACGAAATGCACTGCAGTGCCATTGGGATATAAAGTGTCTTAAAGGGCCTGCTCTACAGTTATTCTCCCCATCAGCCATCATGACACTGTACTTCGGTATGGGAGAGGGGGAAAATCAGAAAGAATATATGAAGCTTCTATTTAATTAGAAATCCTAAAAGAAAAGGTTGAGCACTATCCTCCCCATCAATCAGACTGAACTTGATAAGTGCCATTCCTAACTTTGCTTGACGTGGAAACACAGAAATATACTTTATGGAACAGCTCAAACAATCTTAATTTTGGATTACAACACATTCAAAAATCTACTATCAGCAGAGCAGTTAGGGTTGATAATAATAATCCCACATTTGATATAGCAGCTTATCACATCTTTTAGATGTCTCAAAGTGTTTCACAGCATATAATGTAAAGTGAATTGACTGTATTTCAAAAATGTAATAATTAGCACGAATGATAGGATCATGTCTCACCTCGCAATTTTCACCTCATAAACAATCTAAGCACCCTGGGATACTGGGATATCTTTCCGACGTGAAGGGCACTAACAAGTGTAATTTGTTGTTGTTGTTGTTATTGAGATAACATATGCAATTCTCTCCCTTTCACCTCACATCCACACCCACAAGTACTTACTGTGCTCTTGTTGGAGTGTCTTAATACAGTCGATAAGCATGTCGCTAGATATACATTGACAATGTTCTTTCAGCAGTCGTGTGGACTCACAGAGTGTTAGGTAATTTACTTGTTGATCATTGAACGTATTCACAATGTCAGCGAAACATCGATCAAGATCAGCCACATTTACAACCTTCGCAGTGATTCTTCCATCCTTCATGCTCACAGCTGTGAAGCAAATGATATTTTTCCATTACGGAAACATCCGGTCCCTCACCAGCACCGCTTTCTTCCACCTCCAACGCATCGCCCGTCTCTGCCAATACCTCTCCCCCAAAAGCCGCTGAAACCCTGGTCCATATCTTTGTCACCTCTCAGCTGGACTACTCTAACGCCTTCCTCGCCACTCTCCCATCTACAAAATCCAAATCATTCAAAACTCTGCCTCCCGCATTGTCACCCGCACAAAACTCCACTCCCCGATCACCCCAGTCCTTGCCAGACTGCATTGGCTGCCTATCCCAGAAAGGATCGATTTCAAGATCCTCACCATTGTATTCAAGTCCCTGTACTCCTCTGCAACCCCCTACCTCTCTGACCTCCTCAAAACAGTACCCGTTGCCTTCGGTCCTCCGGGTCTGGCCTCCTCCTCGTCCCCCGAGTCCTCCGCTCCACCCTTGGCAGCCATGCCTTCAGCCACTATGCCCCGAGGCTCTCGAACTGCCTTCATCACTCCGTTCGTCTCGCTCCCTCCCTTCCCATTTTCAGGTCTCTGCTGAAGAATCTTTCTTTTCGACCGCGCCTTTGATCACCTTCCTCCCCCTCCCCCTGGCTCGGTCCCGGGATCCGTTACTGTAAAGCGCTCTGAGACGCCATCTGGCGTGGAGGGCGCTATATAAATCCAAGTTGTTGTTGTTGTTGAAAACAAATTTATGCAAAACCCATGGGCTGTGAAGGCAAACATGATAGCTGGGCAGAAGTAGTCTTGGGCCCAATTCTCCAGTACCACTGTCAATCATCAATGACCCTTTTTTTAATTATAATTTAAAGGTTAACACACAAATATAATATAATTCTTAATTTGGAGGATCTTTTTAAGAATTGAAGGAAAATTGGATCCAAATTCACTTCTGCATGATCTTACATTTTAAGATTTAAGGCTTCTTTTGGGGCTTTCTAATAACTGCTTAATTTTCCCCGCAGGGGATAAAGCATGTATGAAAGAAAGAGAAAAAAGCCTGAGTCAAAGCATATTGTACAACAACAACAAAACATTACATTTGTATAGAGCCTTTCATGCTGGGAGGACGTCCCAAGGCACTGGACAGTCAGGGATTTGTCCCTGAGCAGCAGGTCGGGATCAGGAGAGGTGGAGGGCAGGGAGGGTAGGGGTAGAAGGGTGGCCGAATGCGTGGTCGAAGAGGAGGGTTTTGAGACGTGCTTTGAAGGAGGCAAGGGAGAGAGCAAGATAAAGGGACTATGGGATGGAGTTCCAAAGGGTGTGGGCAGAGAAGTTGAAGGCCCGACCACTGACGGTGAGGCGGGCCATGCAGGGGATATGGAGCAGGCTGGATGGAGCATGCTGAGCGGATTTTTGTCAAAAACTTCGCAACCATGGAAGAAAGTCCAGGTATGTTCAATGACAAAACAGAAATTTGGTTTCAAGCAAAATGTTTAATTGGCTTACCATCTGTTGCACATTGTAATTGCCGTACAGACTGTGGAGCTCTCAGGCGTTCTCTCTGCAAACAGTAAAACAAATCAATGCAATACGATGAAGAAATATCCCCTTAATACATACATTTACTTCCAGAATACACTTGTGTTAAGTACTTTAAAGAATTTACTTTCATGTAAGGCAATCCCCCCTCTCCTCCTCTTTCCCTCATTTCCAAACGGACTCATCTCTCGATTGATACCACCTGCTCCCTTTACCAACTCGCAGTGGTCAAAGCAACCGGCAACATTCTACGTGTCTGTGGCCCTCCTCAAACTTTAGAAATGTAATGCATCAATTAAGAAGTACCTGAATATGCTGGAGTCAGACACTCTTCTCAAGGCCAACCTCCAGCTCACAGTATGTGACTGCTGGTAACCATATTACAACTTTACACTTGTTTGGGGTTAGTGAAAGCCTGCAAACTGATTATCAAATGCCATGAGTCAGAACTCCAACGCAAATCAGTCATCGGCATTATAATATAATATAGCATGTCATCCCCGCATCCTCTGCAACTGTTTGGTAATTACATTTCTGGGGGGCCTCATGACGTCGCGAAATGCATGCAGTGCAAGAAATGCATTAGGTTCGCATTTAGCAAGACACAGAACATTCTTAGTCACACTAGGACCATACAATCATCACACCTATCAGTCTTTTCACAAATACACTATCACATATTTCATCTTTTTTTAAAAAAGGAATTGAAAAAATACCCATACCCATGAAGTCAGCTAAGCCTTAAGAGTTTGAATTGAAGGTGGTTAATTTCATCATGTAAGGAATAATCTACCTTTCAGTTTAATGGATAACCCCATAATTATATGTCTGAATGATTGCCAATTAAAAAATTGCCAAGGAAGTAAATTGCTGAGGAAATCCTCAATGTTAGCAACATTTTGGGGGGAAAAAAAGCTAAGAATGGATTTCTTCACGTCCCCCGCCTCGCTCACCCCAATATTGGCGGGTGGGTCTTCTGCCACTCTGGACCCACCCTCTGGAATTCCATCCCTCAGTCCCTCAACCTCGCCACCTCCCTTGCCTCCTTGAAGACCCATCTCAAGACCCTCCTCTTTGACCTTCGATCAACCCTCCTTACCCCCCCTGCCCTCCACTCTCCCTGATCCCGATCCCGAGCTCGCGTCCAAAACACTGACTGTCCAATGCCTTGGGGCCACCTCCTGACGTGAAAGAGGCTATACAAATGTAATTTTCAAAGTGCTTCACAGAATATACTATAAAGTGAATTGATTATATATTTGTGGGTGAAACGCGGTAGCCAACAGTGCACTGTCACTGTTACCCTGTTTTTGTACCCCTCAGTAAAATGTAAACAATATATTCCTGTGCGTCTCCAAAAAGACACGATCACTATACAGTAAATCCTATGAAGAATTTGGTATCTCCTGAAGTGGAAGGTGATATACCAAATGCAAGGATTATTATTCTAATTGTAAACTGAATTGTATTGCACAAGCACTGGATCAGCAACCCTTCCAACAGAAGGGATAAACATAAAAGTAAAGTTGAGGGAACTGGGCAGGATTCAAGGTCCTCTACAGCAGTGGGCAGTCACATCCGAAGATTTTCTATGAAAGGGCGGATTTGCTCTGCCTGTGGACAAAAAACACAGCAGACTATCGCCTTCCTATTCCAGTAAATCCTTTGGGGAGTCGAGGGTGAGGTGAGGGAAGTCCAAGTCACTTTCAGTCAACAGGAATCTTGAGCGGATGGAGACCAAAGGGCCGGTATTGTTCTTACTGAGTCTGAGAGAACATCTCTGGGGAGCGATCTGTGTATGGAATATAAATCAACCCGAAGCCAAACTCTATCACGACTTTTCTCATACACTCCTGATCTCGGTTTAATCCCATAGATGTATACCCTCTCACACACTCACTCACTCTCTCACACTGTGCACAAACACTACATAACACCGAAATCTTTGCAACACTCACCTCCCCTCCGTCATCATCATCCAATGGACGGCGGCGGCAGCAGCAGCAGCAGTAGACTGGGAAGAGCGACATAGTGCAGTGCTGTGGGGAGAGGGGATCTCGCCCTCACTGGTGGTATGCGGAAGCCGAGGAGACACAGCAGTCATGAGGCTCTCAACACTTTAACAACTTCCATCACTGGCCCCGGTTGACGTCACCTCGGCCCACAGGTCTGTTCCTGGACTTGGAAGTTCTCTGGTCCCTGTTTTACTTTCAGCGCAAAAAAAAACAGTGCCACAGGTGTGGGCAGAGCTGGGAATGAAGATTACCGACAGTGCAAAGGTGAATAACACGTCCTGTGCAGAGCAGGGAGTGAAGAGCACACGCAGTACATCGCAGGGAGTGAAGTGAGGAATACGCGCAGTGAGTGGGGAATGCATATAATGGAGTGCAATTCAGGGAGTGAAGAACACACACAGTGCAGCATAGAGACTGAGGACACACAGTGCAGCATAGAGGCTGAGGACACAGAGTGCAGCATAGAGGCTGAGGACACACACACAGTGCAGCATAGAGGCTGAGGACACACACACAGTGCAGCATAGAGGCTGAGGACACACACACAGTGCAGTATAAAGGCTGAGGACACACACACAGTGCAGTATAAAGGCTGAGGACACACACACAGTGCAGTATAAAGGCTGAGGACACACACACAGTGCAGTATAAAGGCTGAGGACACACACACAGTGCAGTATAGAGGCTGAGGACACACACACAGTGCAGTATAAAGGCTGAGGACACACACACAGTGCAGTATAAAGGCTGAGGACACACACACAGTGCAGTATAAAGGCTGAGGACACACACACAGTGCAGTATAAAGGCTGAGGACACACACAGTGCAGTATAAAGGCTGAGGACACACACACAGTGCAGTATAAAGGCTGAGGACACACACACAGTGCAGTATAAAGGCTGAGGACACACACACACAGTGCAGTATAAAGGCTGAGGACACACACACAGTGCAGTATAAAGGCTGAGGACACACACACAGTGCAGTATAGAGGCTGAGGACACACACACAGTGCAGTATAAAGGCTGAGGACACACACACAGTGCAGTATAAAGGCTGAGGACACATGCCAATTATTTTAGCACAGTTTTGCCCGTTAGCCTAAAGCAGTGGTGGCCAAACTTTTTGGTCAGCTAACCAAATACATCTTTCTTGATTGAATATTTCTTGATTTATGGCTACACTGTGAATATCGCTACTCGGTAGCTACTGGAAACAAAGTATTGATTCAACACAGAATTACCTCGACTGGTGTGAATATTCAGTGGGCCACGTCTTGATACTTTTGTCCCGCGGGCCATGGGTTGGCTACTACTGGCCTAAATCAAAGGTCAAGGGTACAATTTAAATCATGGTAACTCTCCCAACATATATTACCCTAAATGTCACTGAGGGCAAGGACTCTTCCTACTCAACTTCTGTTAACCCTGCAACCCTAACAGGTAGGGTGGTCCTAGGCTGGACAAGCAGAAGATAGGCTTGCTAGCCAGTGGCAAGCTACGCAGTTTTAGCGGGGTAGAGTCCAGCAGTACCTCAAATAGATGAAATAGTACGGTCACTTGAGACAGTTTTAGATTTTTGGTAAGCTTCAGGTTTCAGGCAACATTATTCCTGCTCAGAATTTTAGTTCTTCTTTGCCTCTGCCAAAAAAGGTAGCAATGTATGCCACAGATTCCTTGACCTCGCCTCGAGCTATTCCACTTGCAATCCACCAGCTGCTCAACTACCCATTTTGAGTGGCATTGATGAAAGGGTCTATATGCCTCTGGTAGTTGAGAAAGGTGATGTTGTTTTGAGCACTTTGAGCAATGCCACAGGAACAGGAATAGTTGAGGGGAAGTTCGAAGTACCGTGGATCTCATAGATGAGCTGAGGGGTTATAGGGTCAAAGAAGTGAACTGCAGTTGTCAACTCTCCTGGAGGAAAGTTGACAGCTGCAGAATCTGAATGTTGACCAGCCAGGTGATGATACAAATGTAGTTTTGTTATTGTGATGCTGGGTTACATTTAACGTTATCCCACTTGTCCAACACTTGATTTGGAAAGTGTGTTTCTCAGACATTTTGAAGAACTGGTCTTGTTTCAAAGCAGCTTTTCTTAAAAAATGGTTTCTTACATAAGTGTGAGATGATTATAATAATCCTTACATTTGGAAAAGCACCTTTCAGGACGATGTCTCAAAGCACTTCAAAAGGATCTACTATAAAGTGTAGTGACTGCTGTTTTGTGGGCGAGATTGAAGAAAGAGTATTATCCGCCTTGATTGTCAAGGTCTAGCAATTCTGAATGTGTGCCCTATGTTGCAATAAGTTGTAATTTGAGTCCACAAACAGTAGCCAGGTCTTTTAGCTGAACCTGTTCTAGGCTTATCGGTAAAGAAAATGTGGGATGTTACTCTTTGTACAAAAAAGAGACTACGGTAGAGCAAGATCTGATTAGAGATGGTATAACAAATGCATACGGAAATGGCTTTTGTGCATACATGAGGAGAAGATTAGTAGGGTTTAGAGGGGTGGGGGCTCGTATGGAGCATAAAAGCGCTTTGAGACATCTAGAAGACGTGAAAGGTGCTATATCAAATGCAAGGATTATTATTATAAACACCAGCACAGTCTAGTTGGGCCAAATGATTTGGTGCCATATCAATCTATGTAACTCTAGGAAAAGAATGCTTAAGTTAAAGAAAACTCTTCTTCGTTGTACCGCTGTTCAATCTGTCATGTTGGGCTATTCTACAGGAGCATGTATCATTCTTTCTTCAAGACGTAACAGTTGTAAATGAATTAGGCAAACATATGGAATAACTCCAAATTTTACCCAGCATTTCCACTATCAACATTCAGATTCTGCAGCTGTCAACTTTCCTCCAGGAAAACACTTCACTTTAATAATAATAATAATCCTTGCATTTAATATAGCGCTTTTCACGTTTTCTAGACGTCCCAAAGCGCTTCACAGAATATACTGTAAAGTGAATTGACTGTATATTTGTGGGCGAACCCAGCAGCCAATTGCGCACAGCAATGTCCCACAAACAGTCATGGATTGAAAATGACTAATTTATTATTGTTTTGTTTTGGAGGGATTATTATTAGGCTCTGTGTGGAGTAAGGAAACTTGCCCAAGGTTTCGCCCTGCCTGGAATTGAACTCAAGTTCAATTCACTTTGGCACTTCAACGGCACCCAAAATGGGCAGGGGATCAGCAGGTTGCAAGTGAAATAGCTCGTGACAGGATTGAGGAAGCTCTGACATACATTTCTGCCTTTTTGGCTGATGCACAGAAGAACTAAAATTCTGAACTGTAATAATGGTGCCTTAAAGCAATTTAAAATAACAGAACATACAGAGTAAAGTAGCAGTTAAGGTTTTCATAGTGAATCATTAATTTAGAAAAACCTACATAATTTCTCTCGTATTTTAGTTCAGCTATTTTATTCTCCAAATTCTTCCATTAACTCTACAATGTTTGGCCAATTTGGACCTGTATATTTCTTTTCATGTTGAATTCAGCACTTTGTGATGTCCTCCCGATGTGAAAGGTGTTATACAAATGTAATTTGTTATTCTTATTCACTTGACCTTAATTGCATAGTACACTACATTCAAACCTCTTCAGTCCACTGGAGGGTGCTGGCATTCATTTCTATATATTGAAAGGGTAACACTACCATTGAGGGAGTGTCTACACGGACATTCTTCACAAATCTACTCAGGACTGCTGATACTCCTGCTATTTATGTAGATGAAGTAACACAGCCAGCAGCAGAATTGCAAGAATATAAATGAGATTTTGAAATGATAAAATATGCTGTTTTCAAAGTTTTGAATGTGAAAGTGGAGGAAGATGACCGAAGGCATGGTCAAGGAGGAAGGTTTTGAGACAGACCTTGAAGGAGGCGAGGGAAGAGGTGAGGTGAAGAGACTCCAGGATCTGAGAGCCGGTGCAGACTCGATGGGCCAAATTGCCTCCTTCTATTCTGTGAATTTCTGATTCTATCACCTATCTCTTGCATTTCCAGTCCAGTACATATTGTTTAGTTTTAATTTCAAATTTGCAAGAGTTCCTAGCACCTGACTTTGCACATGCGGAGTCCTGTAGTGTATTGGTTAGAGCACTCTCCTCACAAGCAAGAGGGCCAGGGTTCGATTCCAAGGCAAAATCTTAGACAAGTTTCTTTACTGCACATACCTCTGTTTACCTAACAGGAAGTAAGAATCCAGTTGTTAGTCGATTGGTGGATCACTTTCCAGAGGTAATAATCTGTTTAAAATAAATAAATTGGTCCCTCAATCCACTGTTTCTGGGACACTGCAGTACGCAATTGGCTGCTGTGTTCTGCCCACAAAATATAGTCAATTCACTTTACCGTGTATCTTTTTTCTTTTGTTTATTCTTTTGCCTACAAACATAACAGTCGATTCGCTTCGCAGTCGATTCCGTGAAGCGCTTTGCGACGTCTCAACGACGTGATAAGGCGAGAATACCGAATCGCAAGGACTATTATTTTTATCATTCCTGTGCGCGGAAAATGAGTAGAACAATAGAATGGCGCGCGCGGAAAAAAACAACCAACAAGTCCAGCAACAGATCTACATAAGTGAGGGAGGGGGAGAGAGAGAGGGAGAGAGGGAGGAAAGGAAAGGAATGGCTGAGGGATTGGGAGACACCCAAAGGGGGTCAGGCATTCCTGCTCATGTGTTTGGCTCTTGCAGCACAGACCCTGAGAGGGCGCCATCGTGCTGAGTGCGGGCAGTTTTAGGATAGGTTTGGATTTTCTTTACCTCTTATCTTTTGTGTATGTGTGTGTGTATGTGTGTGTGTGTGTGTGTTGGGGGGGGGAGGGGATGGGGAGCGGGAGCTGAAGCCATCTCTTTGCCGCAGTGATTGCTGCCGAGCAGCGTCTGCCCCGTGAACACACACACCACACACACAGACAGACAGACACAGACACACACACACACAGAGGGACAGAGCAGCAACAAACCACAGCACAACCCGACCCGACCCGCCCCGCGCTGGACCAACAGCCATTGCAGAGACGCGGCAACTTCCCCAACACCTCCCTCTCCCCTCCCTGTGTCTGTCCCTCTCCCTCTCACCGGGCATCGCCTTGCAATCAGTCAGCTGCCCTGCCCCTGCCTCTCCCCCTGCCCTGCTCTCCCCTCCCTCCCTCCCCCTGCCTCTCCCCCTGTCCTGCCTCTCCCCCTCCCCCTGCCTCTCCCCCCTGCCCTCCCCCTGCCCTCCCCCTGCCCTGCCTCTCCCCCCTCCCCTGCCTCTCCCCCTGCCCTGCCTCTCCCCTCCCCTGCCTCTCCCCCCTGCCTCCCCCCTGCCCTGCCTCTCCCCCTGCCCTGCCTCTCCCCTGCCTCTCCCCCTGCCCCTGCCTCTCCCCCTGCCCTGCCTCTCCCCCTGCCTCTCCCCTCCCCTGCCTCTCCCCCTGCCTCTCCCCTCCCTGCCTCTCCCCCTGCCCTGCCTCTCCCCCTGCCCCTGCCTCTCCCCTGCCCTGCCTCTCCCCCCTGCTCCTGCCTCTCCCCCCCTGCCTCTCCCTGCCTGCCTCTCCCCCCTGCTCCTGCCTCTCCCCCCTGCCCCTGCCTCTCCCCCTGCTCCTGCCTCTCCCCCTGCTCCTGCCTCTCCCCCCTGCCCTGCCTCTCCCCCTGCTCCTGCCTCTCCCCCTGCCCTGCCTCTCCCCCTGCCCTGCCTCTCCCCCTGCCCTCCCCTGCTCCTGCCTCTCCCCCTGCTCCTGCCTCTCCCCTGCCCTGCCTCTCCCCCTGCTCCTGCCTCTCCCCCTGCCCCTGCCTCTCCCCCTGCCCCTGCCTCTCCCCTGCCTCTCCCCCCTGCTCCTGCCTCTCCCCCTGCCCCTGCCTCTCCCCCCTGCCCCTGCCTCTCCCCTGTCTCTCCCCCTGTCCCTGTCTCTGTCCCTGTCTCTCCCCCTGTCCCTGTCTCTGTCCCTGTCTCTCCCCCTGTCCCTGTCTCTGTCCCTGTCTCTCCCCCTGTCCCTGCCTCTCCCCTGTCTCTCCCCCTGTCCCTGTCTCTCCCCCTGTCCCTGGCTCCTGCCTCTGTGCTGTTGAAACAATTACAGAATGCACCTTTGCTTCCCTCCTCCTGTGTAACATTTAGTTACTTTGTAGAGGGTTCTTAAAAACAAAATAGAACAGAGCAGAGGGTTGGGATGATTTCCTGTCCTGTGCAATTTCAGTGACTGTGTGAATGCTGACCACCCCCCACCTGATTTAGGCATTCCCCCTCCCCACACACCTAATTTGGGGAGACCCCCCCCTCTGATCTAAACCCCCGCCCCCACCCCTCCTGATTTATTTGCCCCCCACCCCCTCCCAGTTGAGTGATTGGCTTTGTGATGTGTGCACGTTTTTTGCAGTTCCCTATTTTCTGTGGCTGCCTCTCACTCACACACACACTCTATCACTCTGCTCCATGTTGCCATGGCCTCTGTAGGCACAGAGAAAGGGGGTGGCAAGAAGAAAAGTGAGAAGAAATTTGCAGCCAGAGAAGAAGCTAAACTTCTGGCAACTTTTATGGGAGTCATGAATAATATGAGAAAGCAGGTAAGGATTGCTCCCCTCCCCACCTTCCCCAATTTGCTTCTCACAAGATTGGTTTGGATGAAGATTATAATAATAATAATCCTTGCATTTGATATAGCGCTTTTCACGTCGGGAGGACGTCCCAAAGTGCTTCACAGAACACACTGTAAAGTGAATTGACTGTATATTTGTGGGAGAAATTCCATTATGCCCTCTTGGCCCATTATGCCCTCTTGGCCCATTTGTGTGGAGTCCTGTAGCTCAGTGGTTAGAGCACTCGCTTTGCTCGAGAGACCTGAGTTCAATTCCAGGCAGAGGGCGAAACCTTGGGCAAGTTTCCTTACTCCACACAGAGCCCTAATAATAATCCCTCCAAAACTAAAACAATAATAAATTGGTCATTTTCAATCTACGACTGTTTGTGGGACATTGCTGTGTGCAATTGGCTGCCGCGTTCGCCCACAAATATACAGTCAATTCACTTTACAGTGTGTTCTGTGAAGCGCTTTGGGACGTCCTCCCGATTATTATTATTTGATCTGATCCTTGTAGAATACTATTCTCCCATCACAACCACAAGCTTTTTTTAAAAAATTGCTCTGGCCTCAACCATCCTTCCTGACAACCTCCTTGCCCGTCTTCAGATCACACCTGAAGACCTTCCTCTTTGACCACACCATCCTCATCTCCCGCCTCTCCTTATCCACCTCAGTAGGACTGCACTACCTTGGTTAGTCCAACCTTACAAACTGCCTCCATTTTGTCTCTTCAAATGATTTCTCCTCCCACCCCCACCCAGTCACCTGTGGTATACCCCAGGGCTCCATCCTTGGGCCCCTCCTCTTCCTCATCTATATGCTTCCTCTTAGCGATGTCATCAGTAGACATGGGGTAAACTTCCACATGTATGCAGATAACACATAAAGCTACTTCTCCAGCTGGGACTCCAGATCCACCGATGGCAGATATCAGGGCCTAAATGAGTGAAAACTTCCAACAACTCAATGTTGACAAAACAAAGCCATACTCATGGGTACCCGTCAACTTCTTCTGTCCTGCGCCTCTAACCTCCCTGGCATATCCCTCAGACTTACCGAACCAGTGCTCAACCTAAACCTAGATGTCAGGTTCGACACACAGCTGTCCTTCCTTCACCACATCCATTCCCTGACAAGGACCACCTTCCTTCACCACATCCATTCCCTGATAAGGACTACCTTCCTCCACCTCTGCTACATTGACCACCTCCTAATGTACCTTAACCCATATGCAGCCAAAACACTCAAAGGACTTCACAGAATATACTGTAAAGTGAATTGACTGTATATTTTGTGGGTGAAACACAGCAGTCAATTGCACACAGCAGTGTCCCACAAACAGTCTTGGATTGAATGACCAGTTTTTTTTTGAAGAAATTATTACCCCCGGAAACCGATCCCCCAATCGACTAACAACCAGGTTCCTATTTACTGCTAGGTAAATAGAAGCGTGTGGGGTAAGGAAACTTGCCTAAAGTTTAGCTCTGCCGGGAATCAAACCCAGGTTTCTCATTTGCGAGGCGATTTGTCTAAACACTGAGCTACAGAACCCAGAATACTCTTAAGTAATGATTTATACAGATTAAGCATCATGAGTTTTGTTCCTATTCTATTTCGCTATTTATAAATCCTAGAATCCCATTAGCTTTCTTCACAGCTTTGTCCACCAGCGTTCCCACCTTTAAAGATTTATGTTTGTTAACTCCTAGGTCTCTGCTCTTCTACTCCTTGTATATTTTTATCATTTAGCATGTAGTGCTCTACCTATTCTTCCTCTGGAAAAATCTCATGGCAATTCCAGTGTCATCCATTGGACTACACAAAAGGTTAATAATAGATAATAATAATTTGTGCATTTGATATAGGCCTTTATTATGTTTTCAAAAAGTCTAAGTGCTTCACAGGATTTTACTGTTAATTGTAATGCACATGTAATTGTATATTGTGTATGCGTAATTGGAGTGGAAATACAGATCAGCCATGATCTGATAGAATGGCGGATCAGGCTCAAGGGGCTGAATGGCCTATTCCTGTTCCTATATCCCTATATATATTTGTAGATGAACACAGGAGCCAATTTGCACACAGCAATGAGAGCAAATAGCAATGAAGTTAATGACCAATTTCATTTAGGGGATTGTTGGCCAGAACATGGGGAGAAATTTCTCTTTTTAAATAATATCATGGGATCTTTAATGTCCACTTGAACAGGCAGATGGGACCTAAGTTTAATGTCTCATTCGTAGGTTGGCACCTCTCGTAATGCAATCCTCCTGAGTACTGCATGGAAATATCAGGCTAGACTGAGCTTAAAGACCTGATATGGGGCTTGAACTCGCAACACGATTAAGGAGAAAGAACGTTTTCTCATTTTTTTTACACCTCTGGTAACCCAGTGATGCTGAGATCCACTAATGAAGCATAGTTGAACCTGAGACCTTCCTGCTCTGCTTTGATTACTGTATAATCTTTCTCTAGATGTCTTCAGTTTGCCATATTAGTTGGTGAAGTTTCTTACTTTGACATACTGTGCCTGCTCAAACATTCACCTCTGTTTCCTTTTCAGAAAACTCTATGTGATGTAATTCTGGTGGTGTCAGATAGGAACATCCCAGCTCATCGAGTTGTCCTTGCAGCTGCGAGCCACTTTTTCAGTCTGATGTTTACCAGTGAGTTTATTTACCATCAGTTCAGTAGATCCACAAATCAGTAATATTTCTCCTCACTGTGTTGCCCAATCAATGAAATAATCCGTAATGCTGTGCTCTGCTTTTTTTTCCTGGTAGCAAATATGCTTGAATCAAAGTCTTACGAAGTTGAACTCAAAGATGCAGAACCTGATATAATTGAACTGCTGGTGGAGTTTGCATATACTGCAAGGTGGGTAAAATAAGAGCTCTGTGACATTACCCTGCTTGGGGGGCGTTATATAAATGCAAGTTGTTGTTGAATAGTTCAGTCTTCAAAAACATTGCTTTTTGTATGCTGGGATTTACTGGTAGCCAGTTCGCTCACGGCAATTTCCTATAAACAGCCATGGAGTTAATTAACCAATTGTATTTGGGGGATAGTCGGCCAGGACACCGCGAGAAATTCCCTTCTCTTTTTGGTAATAATAATACTTGCATTTGATATAGCGCCTTATCACATCTTTGAGACGTTTCAAAGCTCTTCACACAATATATTGTAAAGTGAATTGACTGTATATTTTGTGGACAAAACGCAGCAGCGAATTGCACGCAACAATGTCCCACAAACAATTGAGTGACCAAATTATTTTTATTTTGAACGAATTGTTACCCCCGGAAAAGCGATCCGCCAATCGACTAACAACTAGGTTCCTGCTTAATGCTAGGTAAACTGAGGTGTGTGGAGTAAGGAAACTTGCCATAATGTTTGTCCCTGCTGGGAATCGAACCCAGAGTCCTAGGTTTGAGAAATGATGGAAGCGCATTCTCTAATCACTAAGCTACAGGACTCCACGCTACAGATTAGTGTGATTGGATCTTTAACATCCACATGAAACAGACAGACTGACCTCAGTTTCACGTTTCATCTGAAGGATGGCACCTCCAACAATGCAGCACACCCCCAGTACTGCATTGGAGTGTCAGCCTGGACTATATGAGCTCAAAGGCTTGAACTCAAAGGCGAGAATGCTATCAATTAAGGCAAGCTGAAACTGCTACATCCAATTCTATAAATCTTGAAGAAAGAGAACAAATCAAGTAGATTGCTTCAAAGCTCCAGTGATCTGAGGCTCATTCAGTATGTTTTCACTGCACTGTACCACCAAGTGGTAGAAAATTTTGATTATTTTTTAATATATATTTACAGGATCTCTGTTAACAGCAACAATGTTCAATCGCTGTTGGATGCAGCAAACCAGTATCAGATTGAACCAGTGAAGAAAATGTGTGTTGAGTTCCTCAAAGAGCAAATTGATGCTTCCAATTGTTTGGGTATGTTGTTGATTTGTATGTGGAAAGTATTGTATAATCATTGTACTGATGATAAGCAATGTAACAGTGCATCTTTCAAACCTTCAATCCTGCTATGTGGCTTTCTCCTGTGTCTCTATTCTCTTATATGTGACAAAATTAACAAAAAAATTAACATTGTGTCTGATGACCTTGGGATACATACTGAAGGAGAAAATTTATAAAATCTGGCAACATTTGGCTACTGAGTTTTTTGATGTTTTCTTTGATTTAACATTAGCAAAATATTTTCCTTTGCATTATTATTAATGACACGTATTAATTATTAATTTGAATTATTATTAATAATTATGAATATTATTAATTAATATTGTTAATACTTGTTATTAATACTAATAATAGCAACTTTGGCACAGCCTTCTGATGTGAAGGTGCTATATAAATGTAACATTTTATTGTAATAATAATCCTTGCATTTGATATAACACCTTATCACTTTGTTGAGATGGCTCAGAGCGTATCACAATACACTGTAACGTGGTGTGTGATTGTGCATATTTTGTGGACGAAACATAGTGTCTTTGAGGTGAGAGTGGATAGACCATTGGTCCATGCAGCCTACCCATTCAGCTTCTCAGAAGATTTTTTTGACATGTATATTTCATTATATATTAAATCTATGCAATTTATTGTTATTTTTTGAAACCTTTTATTGTTCCTTGTTTCATCACGTGTAATTGGAACGTGTACGTATGCCCATCACCCATTTACTTTTTAAAAAATCCTGTTTATTTTTGTTGTCCTCGCTTTGAAGCTATAAACCGGTGACACTTGTTACAGAAGCAATGGGGTTAATCTCTTCACAGGGCTGCTCAATGATATGATTTGGTCACTGGTTCAGCAAAGCTGATGCTGTCAGTTACTTCATATGCCTGTGATAGGGGAGGGGGCTAAACATTTTATTAATCTCTCCCTAACATTTTAGCCTCCAGATTCTAAGCAACTGGTTATGCTGTCTTGTATAGTCATGAAAATCAATTATTGTTTATTTAAATATTGCTTTTTCTTTTAAAAAATAAATACTAAAAATGTAGTATTTCAAGGATTTATACGGTTATGTAACTTTGGATTTTTAGACTGGATTGGTAGAAAGTAGCTTGTTGCTACAGATTCAATACATCTGCATACTTCTATTCTAAAAAACAGCCTTTTAGATTAAATATTTAATTCTATGTGAATTTTAGGCATGTGTAATTAAAGATTTAAAACCTCACATTGTCAATTAAAGGTTTCAAAGGAATATTCTCCCCTCCAGAGGTAGAATGACATATGTAGTGTTGTCTCAGCACCCAGTCTAAAAATACATGAATTTCTGTTAGCGTCTTTAATTATATAACATTGTATTCATTTGTGATTGGAATTAGAGCTTATTTTTGTTCTGTAGTCATTTTTATTTTGGATGAATGGATGTATTGGGCAAAATATTCACTGCTTGTGTTTTGTTCATAGGAATAAGTGTGTTGGCAGAATGCCTTGATTGCCCAGAGCTGAAGACTTCAGCCGATGCTTTCATCCATCAGCATTTCACTGAGGTTTACAAAACCGACGAGTTTCTGCAGCTGGATGTCAAAAGGGTGACACACCTGCTAAAGCAAGATGCACTGACTGTTCGAGCAGAAGACCAGGTACTAACAGGTCATGTTCACCTGCTTTTCTTAAGCATATACATGGCAGGATGTTTGGCAATCCTATATTGGCACTGGAAGGTGCAAAGAGGGAACTAATCATTGGANTTTTTTTCCAACAACACCAACTTGCACTTGTATGGCGCCTTTCATGTAGTTAAACATTTCAAAGCGCTTTATAGAGAATAAGCCAAAGAAGTATGCTTAGGAGGGTTTTGAAAGTTATAATAATAGTGATAATAATTCTTGCATTTGGCATAGTGCCTTTCACATTGGAAGGATGTCTCAAAGCACTTCATAGGATTTTACTGTAAAGTGGAGTGGCTGTATTTGTAGGTCAATGCAGCAGCCCTTTTGAGCACAGGAATGCCTCACAAACAATCATGAAGTGATTGACTAATTTTATTTGGGAGATTGTTGGCCATGCCCTGGGAGAAACTACTTTCTGGATTTTTAATCGTTTACCTGAACAAGGAGACAGGTCCTCAGTTTAACAGAACTTCAAGCAATGTAGCGCTTCCCCTGAACTGCATTTGAGTGTCCATCTACTCTGCCCTCAAAGTCCCAATTTTGATCTTGATCTGAGGTGAGAGTGGTATCAGCTGAGTTAGCCTGACATTTAGACACTGTGAGAGGACACTTGGATGTAGTGTAAAGTTTACTGATTTGCAGCACTTTGTTTCCATTCCACATCAGGTGTATGACGCAGCAGTCCGGTGGCTGAAGTACGACGAACCCAATCGACAGCTGTATATGGTTGACATTTTGGCAAAAGTCAGATTTCCCCTCATCTCTAAGAATCTCTTAAGTAAAACTGTCCAAGCAGAATCACTCATACAGGACAATCCAGAGTGTCTCAAAATGGTTATCAGTAAGTATGTAATTGCTATTTTTTCTTAAATCACAGGTAGACTCAGTGCGCTAACATTCTGCATTTGGTCACTTCAAAATATTTGCCCAACATACGATATCCTGAGCTCTACTGAGATGAGACTTTGACTAAATTGTATTTTCTTTGCAAACCCTTACAGACACATTTAGCTTGGGATGGTGCTAGGTGAATTATGGTTATAATAATATTAATAATAATAATCCTTGCATTTGATATAGCACCTTATCATGTCTTTGAGACGTCTCAAAGCGCTTCACAGAATATACTGTGAAGTGAATTCACTTTATATTTTGCATATTATGTGATCTGTAAGTGTTTCTGTCCGTAGGTGGGATGCGGTACCATCTTCTGTCTCCAGAGGACAGGGAAGAGTTGGGAGAAAGTACCCGACCACGGCAAAAGAAACATGATTATCGGATTGCATTGTTTGGTGGGTCTCAGCCACAGTCTTGCCGCTACTTTAACCCTAAAGTAAGTGTGAAAATCCATGACGTAACCCACAAATTTCAGTTCTAAATGACAGTGGTTTTGTGAGTTAGAAATGTTATTGTCTTCACAGGACTATGCTTGGACAGACATTCGTTGCCCGTTTGAGAAACGTCGGGATGCAGCCTGTGTCTTCTGGGACAATGTGGTTTATATTTTGGGAGGCTCACAGCTCTTTCCTATCAAGCGGATGGACTGTTACAATGTTGCTAAAGATAGCTGGTACTCCAAGCTGGGCCCACCCACCCCTCGAGACAGCCTTGCTGCCTGTGCTGCCGAGGGCAAGATTTACACATCCGGAGGCTCTGAAGTTGGTGAGTTAATAACCACATTGTTTAATGAATGCTCCGTACAAGGGACACCTTCCCACTCCCCCATTAGACACCGCTCTTAAAGTCTCCTGTTCCCGATGACTGTTCTGTAATTCTTCTACATTCTAGTTAATAAAAAATCATTGATTTTATTTTTCTTCCTCTCTTTAGGAAATTCTGCCCTGTATCTGTTTGAGTGCTATGACACAAGAACAGAGAATTGGCACACCAAGCCCAGCATGCTGACCCCTCGATGCAGCCATGGCATGGTGGAGGCTAAAGGCCTCATCTATGTGTGTGGTGGAAGTTTAGGAAACAACGTGTCTGGAAGAGTCCTGAATTCCTGTGAAGTTTATAATCCTGCCACTGAATCGTAAGTACCTGTACCTGCAAAACCTAGAATCTCACTGTAGTCACTTCAAAGTTACTCTGGTTACTAAAACGTATATTTTCCCTGTAACAAAATGTATTTCCCTAACTGTATGTGCACATGATGCTTATGATAATGAGATCGGGTAGAGTTTGATGTGTCCTTTCCAAACAAGCGAAATACACCAGTTTATGTGCCAGCCATTCACAACTCAACCAGCCTACAATTGTTAGACTTTGGCTGTTTCTAGTGTTCACAGAATTGGAGAATTTAAATGAGTGGATGAGCAGTGCGCTCAACTGATGTAATGTGGGTTGGTAACATTTTCAGAAGAAAATCTTGAAACAGTTTAGGAGGGATTTGCTTAAACCTGGAGTAATCTCTGCATTTTAAAAACATGTTCAATCACATTAAGATACTATTGGTTTGGGAAAGGCAGAATGAATATGTGCCGGTCATGTGCCGTCATGTACTTATGTGGTGCGTTTGTGAGGAAAGCAATGTTGAGGGAGAGAAGGAATCTTATAAGAGTACCCGGCCATATGTGAATGCTATGTAAATAGACATGATTGTTAAAACCATTGACTCAACTATGAAGTTTCCTGTCCTCATTCCACCCCCCCTCCCCCCTTAAATCTGACATAGAACTACAATTCAGTTGGATGAAGCACTTTGAGCCTTCCTTCCAATGTGAAAGGTGCCATTATAAATGTTAATTGTTGTTGCATTGAATGAATTGGAAATAATTGGTGAGGGAAAGCAACCTGTTAATTTTGTATTCTTGTTATTATCCGACAGGTGGACAGAACTTGCAGCAATGCTTGAGGCCAGAAAGAACCATGGATTAGTGTTTGTAAATGATAGAATCTATGCTATCGGCGGCCAAAACGGACTTGGTATGTCTGCTTTGTTTATACCCTCTGTATAACAATGATTGTGAATGTCACGTCATTGATACGCGGGAATTGCCCTGTGAGTGGTCTCAAAAAAGGCAACATCTATCTTTTTACGACAACTCTCAACCAAGAAGAGAATTAAGTTTCAATTTAATGATGGTTAAGATGACCTAGAATCCTAGATAAACAAACATATTATTCTTTTCATACATTCTGGGAACAGTAACATTGCTTGGTTGTATCATATAGTCGTGGTATAAAATGGTATAAATTTGGCCCATCTATGTGCTTCTGCGGCAAAGTTATGTTAGTTACAAAACACTATTTGTTGTTTCAGCAAATCTTTTAGTGTTTACATTTGATCACTGGACTATAAAGCCACTACACTTACAGCAGTGTGGTCCAACAGGCGACCCACAGGTTGCATCCGGCCCTGCGAGTGACTTTATCCGGCTCAAGACCATTTCCAACATTACAACTTCTGCTCCCTCCCTCCCTGGTAAACATCCTCCCAGGGCAGTGGCAGGAGCAGGGGTTTGGGGAGATGCAGTGCAGAGAGTGAAAATAATATCGACCATTATTGCAGTTTGTCAGGAAAACAAGCGCATCTCTTACCAATTATCAGCCCCTGTCACTGCAGATAGTGAACTGCGCAGCTGAGGGGGAGAGAGAATGAGGGAGGAGGAGAGAGAGGGGAGAGGAAAAGATACTGATAGAGAGAGAGAGCATGCGTGAGAGAAGCAGAGAGTGAATGACAGAGAAGTGGGGAGAGAGAGTGTGAGGGAGGGGAGAGAAAGAAACAGCAACTTGCACTTATATAGCGCCCTCCGCGCAGGGTAGCGTCTCAGAGAGGGAGGGATTGAGAGAGTGAGTGTGAGGGGGAGAGAGTGATGGAGAGAGTGGAGGAGAGAGAGTGTGTGTGAGAGAGAGTGAGCAGGGGGTGGGGAGATTGAGAGAGAGTGATTGACAAAGGGGTAAAGAGAGAGTGATTGTGAGAGAGGACAGACGGAGTGACGTGCAGTTTCCTCACAAAGCTCCCCCTTCCCCCAGTGAAAAACTCCTCTACGTCCTTCATTTCCCCCTCCCCACCCTCCCTCTGCGACCTCCCAACCCGGCCGTTCCATTTGTAGAACAAACATGTCCCCTGGCTTGCTTCATGCCCCCACCCTCAGTCCATTTGCCCCACCATCGCCACTTTACCCCATTATATCTGGAGCTCCATTCTTGGAGTCCCTCCGACTCCCTCCCCTCTTTTAAGGCACATCAAGACTTAATTCTTTGAGCTCACTTTTAGTCATCTTTTCCCCTCCCATCCCACCTCCCTCTGCTTCCACCCCCAGCTCAGGTGCCCAGCCGGCAGTGTCAAGCCAAGACTCTGTGTAAATGTTATTATGTTTCTGGAAGAGAAACACAAAATATTACTAATCCAGCCCAAAGACCTTTCTCAAATAGGGATTCCAGCCCACGGCAGCCAAAAGGTTGTACCACCCAACTTTACAGTAAATGTTGTTGAACATTGAGTCTCTCCCCACCTGAAAGACACTATTATCAAATGCAAGAATTAATTATCAAAGATGATTTATTTATTTGTACTGAGCAAGAAAATGTAATTGATCATTGTGCATTTTTGTTCCAGGTGGGCTGGATTCCATAGAATATTATGATATTAAAACAAATGACTGGAAAATGGTATCAACGATGCCCTGGAAAGGGGTGACTGTTAAATGTGCAGCAGTTGGCTTCATAATCTATGTCTTGGCTGGTTTCCAGGGTGTTGGCCGATTGGGCCATATTTTGGAGTATAACACTGAAGTAGACAAATGGACAACTAACTCCAAGGTCCGTGCTTTCCCTGTGACCAGCTGTCTTATATGTGTGGTCGACACGTGTGGTGCTAATGAAGAGAAACTCGAAACCTAAAGGAAAGAGGAAAATGCAGCAGAGCTTCAGAGGATGGTGTCTGTCGAAATTGCTTGTGCTGCCTAAAACTGTTATTCAGAGAGATTTCCTGTTTCCTTCAAGGTTTCTTCTTGTGACGCTACTATTCTGACTTATTTTCCAAGAATTTCTAAGGTTAGCTGTTGAATGTTGCAGCAATTTTGTTTCAATTGCTTTTTTAAAAAAAAGGTTATTTTCAGTAGCTCAACATTAGAACTTGGGAAACTTGTGATTTTGACTTCAATTCTGATTTCACATAAAATCTCACCTCTGTATGGTAGAGGGAGTAAGTAATAGTTTTTTTAAAAACAAATGTTTGAAAATTGTATTTTTGAATGTTAAAATGGGCATTCAGAGGTGAAGGCTCTTTTATAACTGGATGGCCCAAGTGGCGATTAAAATATTTTTGAGTGGGGATAATGTCTTAACTTATGAAACTGAAAGAATAAATTGACCCTTGATTATCAGATCCATATGAGGAATATTTTGTTGATGACTCATAAATAGCACTACAGGTAGGTAGTGATAGTTAACATATAATTAGAATTTTTCATCCTGCTGCCCCTCTTCTCTTCAACGTTACTTTTCCTACATTGGGCTAGGAAAAACATGGATGTTGCTGCTGTGTTACAAGTGATCGCCGTACAGAGTCGGTTCCTAGAACGCTATGCTTATTTCTGCCACTGCGTGCCAGTGCATATATCTTACATAAAGGCTCGGATTTTTAAAAAGCATTTTTAAAAAAAATGAAATAGGGCTATAAAGAAAATCAGAATGGCCGGTAGAGAATCATTCTGCATTTTTATTTCTGAGACTTGGATTTGCATTCAGCCCAGACTGATTAGGTGAAAGTCTCCCCTCTTTGAGAGCTACAAAGAATCTAAAATGAAATGAGTTTGAGCGGTTTCTCCACTCAGCCCCTTTAGTAATTAAGTTAACAGTTCAGTATCCTGCCTTGAATTGGTACTATTCCTGACCTGGGATGCTAATTGAATAATAAGGGAAAACATTTTTAATTTCCATCTAAAATTAACAAATTTTGACTAAGCATTGTCGCAGTCTGTCAGTCAGTTTATTGTTATTGCAAGCTATTTTTTAAAAAGTACCATTTTGAGAGGAAGGAATGAGATGCATTTTATAGACTTCTCTGTTCTGCTCAAGTTTGACTCATTGGATTTGCCGTGTATTGCCTGACACACATATATATATATATATATATATAGAGAGAGAGAGAGAGAGAGAGATAATTGAGCACACTATGTTCCTTCAACAAGCGCACTGAGACCCTACCCTGCGTGGAGTGCGCTATATAAGTCCAAGTTGTTGTTGCTGCTTTGATGCTAAAGTAAAAGTGAACAAACTGAGAAGGGAAAATGCAACATCCTCTTAACTATTTTTAAAAACATTTTTTTAAATTTCTGTTAATTTGACAATAAATTGAAGCTCTCCCAACAATGCTCTGTCAGTGAGTAAAACAAACCAGATGTTGGGATTTATCAAAAGATCAATAGCAAGCCAAAATAGTGGGGTAATCCTGCCACTGTATAAATCATTGGTGAGGCCATACTTAGAGTACTGTGTACAGTTCTGGTCGCCACAGTACAAAAAGGATATTGGAGAAATCGTGAAGATACAAAGGAGTGCAACCAAAATGGTTGAGGGAATGGACTAAGTAAAGGAACGACTAAGTAAATTGGGCATGTTCATGCTCGAAAAGAGATTGAGAGGTGACATAATTGCTGTCTTTAAGATTCTAAAGTGGCAAGACAATATAGATCATGACAGGCTGTTTCAACTTGTCCAGATTAGTAAAACCAGAAGGCACGGCCTGCAATTGAAGGGGGGTAAATTCGGAACAAATCTACGCAAACACTATTTCAGTGAGCAAATAGTGAACCTGTGGAACAGACGGTTGAAACAAAAAATGTTGATTCTTTCAAACACAGATTAGATAGTTTTCTTTTAGGAAATAACATTATGGGATATAGTACATAGGTAGTTCGGGACATGTGTGCACGCGACTGCCAGGAAGATGGAAGGCAAACTAGATGGACCTTGGTCTTTTTCGCCTAGCATTTCTTATGTTTTTATATGACCTGCCTGAGGTTGATAGCAACACAGTTATAATAATAATCCTTGCATTTGATATAGCGCCTTATTACGTCTTTGAGATGTCTCAAAGCGCTTCACAGAATATACTATAAAGTGAATTGATTGTATATTTAGTGGGTGAAACGCGGCAGCCAATTATGCACAGCAGTGTCCCACAAACAGTCGTGGATTGAAGTGACCAATTTATTAATTTTTTTTGAAGGAATTATTTCCCCCGGAAAAGCGATCTGCCAATCGACTAACAACCGGGTTCCTACTTACTGCTAGGTAAACAGAGCCGTGTGAAGTAAGGAAACTTGCCCAACATTTTGATCTGCTGGGAATCAAACCCAGGTCTCTCGCATGCGAGGCAAGTGCTCTAACCACTGAGCTACAGGACTCCATATGAGACCTCATTACTGTAAACTCATCATTGTGCCAGCAGGTAAGTTCTGATGAAACATTCATTCTATTAAATCGATTGATTTTGATGACTTTTGTTTTTTCTGCCCCTTCCTTCAATTTTTTTGAGAGACTTTACCCAACCCCACAAGTCTTGTCTGGCTTATGCAGTTCTACTTTGCTGATATTCAGAGGGTCACAAGTCTACAGTAAGAGTATGAATTTTAATTTTAGTGATCAGACCCTGTGTCTGATGCTATTTGTATCTATAACAGAGATCTGAGCTAATTAATATTTTTCATTAGACAAGTTGCAGCTAATCTCCCACTGTTTACTTTTTGCAAAAATGTTTGTGGGGTAAATAATCAAGTATTATTAGCATGGCATAAAGTGAAAACCTGTTGGAATCCAATTGGATAGGATTTATACAGCACTTGAAACCAGTACTGTATTTAGTTATTCTTTAAACTAAAGAGATTGTGTGCGTTGCGTGGATCCTGTATTAGAACCCCATCCAATTAACAGTTCAGTATTAAAGATTTATGTTGCTAATCTCCATTTAAGTTGAAATAAGTTATTATTTAAGAACAACATGAGATTGTGTTTGAAACCAACCTGTTAAATGGAGAAATGCCTAACGCATTAAATGTTTTACCACGTGATAACCTCAAGAAATGAGATTAGAATTGACTGTTAAAATCCTGTTCATTTACACTATTAAATGTTGTGCCTCTTTTACTATTGAAACTTTTGTATTATAAGCATTGCGGAAGAAGGGTCCAGCAACCAAACATGTTCAGTCACATTCATTTCAAGGTTAACCAGCTACTTCTACATTATCGGCAGGACTGCTGGCAGACTATGGTCTAAAGGAAGCACAAATTCCCTTTTCAATTAAGATTTTTTTTGGTTGTGGGGAACGCACATCTCAATTTTAGATTCTTCTGTGCACTTTCATGTCATGCATTATTTGCAGCCAAGGCAGTGAGAGAGCCATCTACTCCCAGATCTCTCTGAATCTAGCCCTAGGGGGTGGATCATAGGTGATTACATCTGATTTATATATCTGAAGCATCTTGCCTCCATGTGATTTCCTCTCCTTTCCTAACAACGCGACTGTGATTGGTAACTTCCCAAGTGGAGAGTATTGAGTGTACACTACACCTAGCTTAATAATAATGCTGTAAGATATTTGTGCCTAACTTTTATCCTACAAAATTTAATGTTTGAAATTGGGAACCTGTTGCTCCAAAACTAGAGATGCTTCAAGAGAAAAGCTTTTGAACATGTGAACATTATTTCATTTACAGTATCCAGGTCATAAAGAACTGATCTGAATGGATTGTGTTTACTGGAACTGTCTGATCAGTTCTTCAAAATTGATAATGTTTGCAATGCAGCCTTACTCCATTTCAGAGGAAACTTATTGTATGGATTCTGCTCTTTCCCAATTTCTTGTCAATAAATTGCTATTATGTGCAAGCTGTTTCTCTTTGCTAAAATGATCTTATTGAGGTGCAGTGTACCTGAATGGAAATGATTTTGCACTATTTTATTCCATTTTGTCAATTATATAATTCAACTGTCTTAATAAAGTTTGCTTTTATTTTTAAAATTAAACCACAGTTGTGTGTTGTCTGGGATATTTTCCTTTTAAATACAGAAATGGCTTCTGTAATATAAACCTTGTGTGTCAGCCTGGCTCAGTTGGTTAGCACTATTGCCTCATTGAATCAAAGGGTTGTGGGTTCAAGCCCCACATTGGGACTTGGAACCCATGTAGTCTAGACTAGTGATGACCAACCTTTTGCTAAGGTGTACCACTGTGTGAGCTCAAGACATATCGCTGTGCCACTAAAAAATATAATAAATTTGGAAAGATAATATTACTGGAAAAGAAAGATGCATTTATTAAGAAATTCACAATAAAATATCAAACAAGTTACTTAATCAGGCTTCTGAATTTGTTTTTTGTTCATGATATCTTCAATATTTGGATTCAGTATTGAGCACACCAGTAGAAAAAAACTATTAAGGTGATCATCTGTTAGTTTGGAACGGTATTTTTTATGAAGTTCATAGTGGAAAAGGACTGCTCACAGGTGTAGGTTGATCTGAATCTGCACATATGTTGAAGAGCATGGCCATGCAATTTAGGAAAATCACTCTTAGGACGAATTTCCAAAACAACTTCAAGTCCTGGCTTACTGGAGAAGCACACATTTCTTTGAATTTGCTATGTAGGCCTGAATGATTTGTAAGTTTCAAAATTTCCAACTGCATTTCTGGTGGATAATGTCCAACCTCAGTGTCCAAAAGAGAATAAGGGTTGGCGCAAAGTGCTATATTGTCTTCTTTAAAATCTTGAAAATGGGCTTCAAAGGAATTAATTAGTGAAGAAATCAGATTCTGATTTTTTTAATTGATGATAACGAAATTGATGATGCTCTCCCTTTCTGTTGCCCCTCACTGCTGCCCTTCGCTGCTGCCCCTCACGTGCCAGTACCAAGAGCATGCCTTGCCACCATGTGGCATGCGCGCCGCTGGTTGGCCAACATTAGTTGAGACTGTGCCACTAAAAAATATAATAAATTTGGAAAGATGTTACTGTAATGCATTGTCAGAGGTGCCATCCTTCAGATGAGATGTTAAACTGAGGTCCTGTCTGCTTGACCAGGTGGATGTTAAAGATCCCATGAAAAGAGAAGGGAGTTTCTCCCCATGTCTAGCCAACAACCCCCTAAATAAAATTGGGTACTCACTCCATGACTGTTTGTGGGACATTGCTGCGCGCATATTGGCTGCAATGTTCACCCACAAAATACACACAGTCACACCACTTTACAATATATGCTGTGAAGTGCTTTGAGATGTCTTGATGACATAAGACTTCATCAAATGCAAGGTTTATTATATAAACCGGAATTAATACTATTAATAATTGACAAATAACTTTTTGTTTTTGAAAAAGTTATTTTTATTATCTCCCTGATCTTCCCACAATACAAACTATCTACATTTAAGTATGTAACCTACCATCTTTGGAAACAACAGCTAGGGAGTGAACAGAGTGACATTTGATTTCCTCTTCCTTCACTCATATTCACTACCCCTCTACTTGGACAGAAGCACCTGGCTTAGGACTTCTTGCAACAGCTGCAGTTGACAGCTCATCAGAATAGGGATTTACTGACACCTTCCAAACACGGTGATTAAGTGCAGAAGAGACTGGAACCAGAGCTTTTCCCTCTCCATTTTATTGTGGGTTCTGTTTTCATACATGCCTATCACCTAGATCTGGCCACTCTGAGGATGAGTAGGCTATTCTATCCATGGGGGCATCTCAACTTGGTCGGTTTGCTCAAATCTATGTCAACTATGGGTGCTGGTAAAAAAAAAATATTCTTTCGGGTGGCTAAGTTGAGCAATGTTCTACTCATACACCCTGACTGCATTTTGCGGAAGACTGCGAAGTGTGTATGAGATTATTTGTGTGTGTGTATGTCCCATCATGAGATCCAACTCCCGCTCACTCAGCTCACTGATGACTACACTCGCACTACTTTACATCCTGTTACACACCTCACAGAGCAGCGCCCCCTCTCCAGCCACAACATCCCTTTAGCCAAAACTGGAGAAAAGTTGGATTGTTGGTCTGAGCTCTCTTGGCCCTCACTACTTGCCACCTATGACCCTAATGCCCTGCTCACCATACTCCCCAGCTCTTTTGTACACAGGATGCAAACTCCCCTGCACCTGGCTCCACAAGACTCACCCCTGTCCTTGCTCAGCTCCATTGGTTCTCATCCCCTCGAGGATTGGTTTCAAGATCCTCATTCTCACCTTCCATGGTTTTGCCCCAACCTACTTCTGCCAATGCTTTCAACTCTGAGACTTGATAGGTTATGAATCCACTTCAACTAGCAGTTTCTCAATTCTCCTTTCTACTCCACATGACCCACTCTGCCTTCCCCCACCTCCACAACATCGCCCAGCTCCATCATTGTTTCACTCTGCAGGCCTCCGAGACTCTCATAACATCGAGGCTTGACTATGCAAACTCCCTGTTTGTCGGCCCCCCCCAACTCCTCTTTCCATAGGCTGCAGATCATCCAGCAGCCCGTATCCTCTCCCACACCAGGCTCCATGACCCTATCACTCCCATCCTCGCCCGACTCCACTGGCTTCCCATCACACAGAGGATACAGTTCAAGATCTTGGTCCTCAGCTTCAAAGCCCTTCATGCCCTCGCTCCGCTCAGTGGGCTCCGGCCTGCTTCATGTCCCCCGCATCAAGACCCATCTCAAGACCCTCCTCTTTGACCTTCGATCAACCCTCCTTACCCCCCCTGCCCTCCACCCTCCCTGATCCCGATCCCCAGCTCGCGTCCAAAACACTGACTGTCCAACACCTTGGGGTGACCTCCCGATATGAAAGACGCTATACAAATGTAACTTTCAAAGTGCTTTCAAAGTGCTTCACAGAATAAGCTATAAAGTGAATTGACTGTATATTTGTGGGTGAAACCCGGTAGCCAACAGCGCATTGTCACGGTTACCCTGTTCTTGTAACTCTCAGTAAAATGTAAACAACATATATATATTATTGATATATAATATGGTTTAAGCCTGGCCCTTTAATTAGATTTTGGTTGAGGAAAAGCCTTGCAAACGGTTTAGTTGCAAAAGCTGTTTGCAGAACAGGAGACGCCCCAATAGCCCCAACACCTGGGCTGGAGGTGGGTTTGATTGACAGGCAAACGGCCTGGAAAGTCACGTGGACGCTCGCGCGGGGGAAAAAGCCCTCGAATGCGTGACACGTGGTGGGCGGAGCCACACGTATCGCGTCATACGGTGGGCGGAGCCACATGCCTATAAAAGGCAATGTTCGGGCTGCCTCGTGGTGGTCAGTGTGTTAGGGCTGAGCTGTGCAGCACTGCTGTCTGTGCCAGTCAGGTTGGTTTCATTACCTTATACTAATGTAATGTTGTGCTGCTAGTTGTATGAGGCAGTTGAATTTGATCCCATTGTTGTGTTTCTTATCTGCAGGGTGGCCGAGGCCAGGGTTACTGGGTCGTAATAAAGAGCTGTTGTGTTGACCGGTTGTCTTCTCGGTAAATGTCTAAGACAAGAATAGGAGTAAATCACTTTAAAGAGCAGCTGTCGACATCTGAGTTCTGGTAGTGCGGACAGATCCTGATTCGACATCCCAATTACCGGGCATTGCAGTTAACCAGGAATACCTGTGAGTGACTTGACTTTGACTTGGTTGAGACACCTTTGAGCAGGGACTCCCACTGACAGGGATAGAAAAGAGCAGAGGCCACTTAGTACGTAAGCATTACTAAAACTCACAAGTACAACAAGGAGTGAGAACCGTCGCAGTACAGCAGTGTCCCACAAACAGTTGTGGATTGAGTGACTGATTAATTATTGTTTTTTTCTTGATGGATTATTATCAAGTGTGTGGAGTAATGAAAATTGCCCAAGGAAAGGGACCACCATTGTTAGGACTGATAATGGTACAAGACAAATGGCCTCAGAGAGATAGGAGTTTTCATAGACTTTCCTGCAGTCTGTAGGTTAATGGTAACACAGATGACCTGCACACTCAGCCTGATTGAAGAGCAGGCAGGCAGGCCGGCTTCGGTTGTAGGCGACCATGTTATATCTGGAGGGAGGCTGCTTTGGTTATTGATGTCCTAAGGGCTCAGTTGCTTCAGCACCTAGTTACTGTGAATTTTTTTGGGTTGTGCAGTTTAAAGTCAATTGCTTGTTTGTCAACTATGACTGGAGTTACTGTATCTCTTTCCTGAAAAACAACCTCGAGAATTGCATAGCAATTCTGAATTCATTATTACAGTTCATAGAATTGTACAGCATTATAACATTCATTCAGCCCAACTAGTCTGTAGACTATAACAAATAGAACCCACATGAGTTTCAACTGAACCCTAATTCCCTCGCCCTGGCACCTGCTTGCATACCCCACCAGCCTGCTTCATGTTCCCTCCACCTTGCCCGCTCTACCATTGCGGTCGGAACTTCAAGCCTACTCCATCCCAGAGTCACTTTGCCTTGCACCTTCCCTCACCTTCAAGGATGGTCTTAATCTTCCTCTTTGACTGCAACTTCAATCATCTTTACTCCTCCCCCCTCCCTCCCCCCCCTTAGACCCCACCCCCCCCTTAGCCCCTACCCCTCCTGAATGCAATCCCCAGAATCCCTATCTTGGGTGCAAACACTTCCAATGCCTTGGATGTCCTCCCAATGTGAAAGGCCTTGTATAAATGCATTTTGTTGTTGTCTCAATCTCCTCCAAATTCCCTAATGCCTTTTCCAAAACCCTCATGTATGCAGTTGATCCAATGCTTCCAATGGCACCTTGCCTAAACTTTCAGTATTTAACAAAAAAATCAATTGCCTTATTTGCAAATATCCACACATCTCACTTTACAGTGTAGAACAACAACTTGCATTTGTATGGTGCCTATTACGCAGGATAGTGTCCCGGAGCGCTTGGATTCGGTACAGAGGGGGAAAAGTTGCAGTATAGTATAACAATATAATCATCCTTGGATTTAATAAAGCACCTTATCATGTCTTTGAGATGTCTCAAAGCGCTTCACAGAATATACTGTAAAGTGTATTTACTGTATATTTTGTGGGTGAAGCACAGCAGCCAGTTGCACACAGCAGTATCCCACAAACATTCGTGAATTGAGTGATCAAATTATTTTTTTGAAGGGATTATTACCACCGAAAAAGCATGATCTGAAAATGCGTTCCTGCTTACTGCTAGGTAAACAGAGGCGCTTGGAGTAAGGAAACTTGCCCAACGTTTCGTCCTGCCCGGGAATCGAACCCAGGTCTCTCGCTTGAAAGGTGAATGCTCTAGACACAGAGCTGCAGGACTCCACAATGCATGCGTTGCAGAGCCCAGTGCGTTGCTTTTGATGCAAGCACCGATACCTGGTGGCTGCCGTTCCAGCACCCACTTCATCACCTCCCTGTGTGATTGTTACAAAACTCTGGCTTGTGAGTTTCTCATCTGATATTGTGTGAAGCGCTTTGAGACGTCTCGAAGACATGATAAGACGCTATAATCAAATGCAAGGATTATAATATTATTTGTGGGTATCCTCTTCCCCCCTCCTCTCTCTTCCTCAACAATGACAAGCTTCACAGGTTCACCACTAGGGGCGCTGGCCCCGCTCGCCGTGATGTCATCATCACGCGCCAAGGTCCGGATTCCCTTTTATTAGATCGATATATTTTTTAAAAAAATAAGGAATATTAACAAGTTGGGAGCTGGCTGCAACAGCCGGGTTTAGCGCTCGATCAACGTGGGCTTCACCGAGCCAAACTGGCGACAAGTTTCCCAGCCACGAGCCCGCGCGGCTCCGACCGCGTTTGTTAATGCACGATCCGGGGCCCTGAGCCGGCGGGGCCCCGGCGCCGCCCCGGCCTGTGGGCAGCGGGCGCGGCGACGGTGACGTCACACAGGTTGCCCGGAGATGCCGGTGTGTCGCTTCTTTCTCGAGGGCCGCTGCCACTTCGGGGACAAGTGCTGGAACCAGCACCCGCGGGGGGCAGCCAATCAGCAACCCCGAGACAGCCAGCACCCCAGAGACAGCCAGCACCCAGCAGGTAACACACACACAGCACCCAATCAGCAACCCCGACACAGCCAGCACCCCACAGCCAGCACCCCCACCCCACCCACAGCCAGCACCCCCCACCCCACCCCACAGCCAGCACCCCCACCCCACCCCACAGCCAGCACCCCCCACCCCACCCCACAGCCAGCACCCCCCACCCACAGCCAGCACCCCCCACCCCACCCACAGCCAGCACCCCCCACCCCACCCCACAGCCAGCACCCCCCACCCCACCCCACAGCCAGCACCCCCCACCCCCACCCCACAGCCAGCACCCCCACCCCCACCACAGCCAGCACCCCCCACCCCACCCCACAGCCAGCACCCCCACCCACCCCCACCCCACAGCCAGCACCCCCACCCACCCCACAGCCAGCACCCCCCCACCCACCCACAGCCAGCACCCCACCCCACCCCACAGCCAGCACCCCCCCACCCCACCCCACAGCCAGCACCCCCCACCCCACCCACCCCACAGCCAGCACCCAGCACACCACAGCCAGCACCCCCACCCACCCCCCAGCCAGCACCCCCCACCCCACCCCACAGCCAGCACCCCCCCACCCCCACCCCACAGCCAGCACCCCCCACCCCACCACCCCACAGCCAGCACCCCCCACCCCACCCCACAGCCAGCACCCCCCACCCCACCCCACAGCCAGCACCCCCACCCCCACCCCACAGCCAGCACCCCCCACCCCACCCCACAGCCAGCACCCCCACCCCACCCCACAGCCAGCACCCCCCACCCACAGCCAGCACCCACCCCACCCACAGCCAGCACCCCCACCCCACCCCACAGCCAGCACCCCCCACCCCACCCCACCCCACAGCCAGCACCCCCACCCCACCCCACAGCCAGCACCCCCCCCCCACCCAGCCAGCACCCCCCACCCCACCCCACAGCCAGCACCCCCCACCCACCCCACAGCCAGCACCCCACCCCACCCCACAGCCAGCACCCCCACCCCACCCCACAGCCAGCACCCCCCACCCCACCCCACAGCCAGCACCCCACCCCACCCCACAGCCAGCACCCCACCCCACCCCACAGCCAGCACCCCCACCCCACCCCAGCCAGCACCCCCCCACCCCCACCCCAGCCAGACCCCCCACCCCACCCACAGCCAGCACCCCCACCCACCCCACAGCCAGCACCCCCCACCCCCACCCCACAGCCAGCACCCCCCACCCCACCCCACAGCCAGCACCCACACCCACCCCACCCCACAGCCAGCACCCCACCCACCCACAGCCAGCCACCACCCCACCACCCCCACAGCCAGCACCCCCACCACCACAGCCAGCACCCCCACCCCACCCCACAGCCAGCACCCCCACCCCACCCCACAGCCAGCACCCCACCCCACCCCACAGCCAGCACCCCACAGCCAGCACCCCCACCCCACCCCACAGCCAGCACCCCACCCACCCACCCCACAGCCAGCACCCCCCACCCCCCCACAGCCAGCACCCCCACCCCACCCACCCCACAGCCAGCACCCCACCCACCCACCCACAGCCAGCACCCCCCACCCCACCCACCCCACAGCCAGCACCCCCACCCCACCCCACAGCCAGCACCCCCCACCCACAGCCAGCACCCCCCACCCACCCACAGCCAGCACCCCCACCCCACCCCACAGCCAGCACCCCCCCACCCCACAGCCAGCACCCCCCACCCCACCCCACAGCCAGCACCCCACCCCCACCCACCCCCCAGCCAGCACCCCACCACCCCACCCCCAGCCAGCACCCCCCACCCCACCCCACAGCCAGCACCCCCCACCCCACCCCACAGCCAGCACCCCCACCCCAGCCAGCACCCCCACCCCACAGCCAGCACCCCCCACCCCACAGCCAGCACCCCCCACCCCACAGCCAGCACCCCCCACCCCACCCCACAGCCAGCACCCCCCACCCCCACCCCCACCAGCCAGCACCCCCCACCCCACCCCACAGCCAGCACCCCCCACCCCACCCCACAGCCAGCACCCCACAGCCAGCACCCCAGCCCACAGCCAGCACCCCCACAGCCAGCACCCCCCACAGCCAGCACCCCCCACCCACCCCACAGCCAGCACCCCCCCACCCACCCCACAGCCAGCACCCCCCCCCATCCCACCCCACAGCCAGCACCCCCCACCCCCATCCCACCCCACAGCCAGCACCCCCCACCCCATCCCACCCCACAGCCAGCACCCCCCACCCCATCCCACCCCACAGCCAGCACCCCCCACCCCCATCCCACCCCACAGCCAGCACCCCCCACCCCCACCCCCACCCACAGCCAGCACCCCCCACCCCACCCCACAGCCAGCACCCCCCACCCCACCCCCACAGCCAGCACCCCCACCCCACCCCACAGCCAGCACCCCCCACCCCACCCCACAGCCAGCACCCCCCACCCCACAGCCAGCACCCCCACCCCACAGCCAGCACCCCCCACCCCACAGCCAGCACCCCCCACCCCACAGCCAGCACCCCCCACCCCACAGCCAGCACCCCCCACCCCACAGCCAGCACCCCCCACCCCACAGCCAGCACCCCCACCCCACAGCCAGCACCCCCCACCCCACAGCCAGCACCCCCCACCCCACAGCCAGCACCCCCCACCCCACAGCCAGCAACCCAGAGAGCAGCAGCCAGCAGGTGAGAGAAAGGGAGTAAGTAAGAGGGCAGCATAGAGAGAGAGGGGCCCAAGGAGCAGCAGCCAGCAGGTGACAGAGAGAGAGAGAGCAGCAGCTGTGGGAGAGAGACCAGCAAGGAGCTGGTGACAATTTAGTATTAATCCTACACAACCAAAGCTCTACTGGTAAACTCTTGACTTCCCCGTGTTTTTCTGCAAGCATATCCATGTTGATGCTCGATGGTTAAATACAGTTCAACATTTCACTTTTCCCTTCTGTTCACAGGTTACAATAGTAACAGGGGAAGCTGGGGAAATCAGTTCCAGAAACCTCAATCTAGTTATATTCAGCCCTCTAACTTCTCCAGAAACACAACATGGGTAAAAGGTGGCAGGGAAGACGACCGAAGAGGGTTTGGGTATCAAGATGCTGGGAAGAAAGAATTTTCAAGTTCCGGAAACTTCATTCAGAACAGATTTACGACTCTGTCGAACACCAATCAAGCAGATGAGACAGAAAATGTATTGTAAGAGCCAGTGTTTAAACTTTATACTGCTTCATTTTTTCAAGACAGCTGTTGGGAAAGATGGTGCTGATACCTGTAAGCCTGCCCTATGATTTTGATCATTTGCTCAGCCAGATGTCTCGACGTTTGTGGAAGCCCATCCCTGTGCTTAAGAGTGTGCAAACTAGACTGAGAGTTCCACGTTTGTATACCACCTACACATTGAAATTTCCCTGTGTACAAAATGTGCATTCTCTCCTGGATTCTTGCACTCTGCTTACCTGATACTAGTATTGCGAGCCAAGGCTTGGAAACTCCTGAGTGTGTGTTGGTACTGTTGGAGTTCTAACAGCTAAAATCGCACAGCTTGCCATTGAGAGTATAATCTAGCAATCTTCACATGTCTTGTCAAGCTCGAACCACCCTTCCAATTCACTGCATGCTTTTACTGGTTATTGTAAAATGAACACTTTCTTTGAGTTAGTTTCGCTGGTGATTTAAATTTGGATTTGAACAGGTTTTCACTGAATGTTGAATAATACAGGAGGACCTCATTATAACACCACTCTCTCCAGTGTCGCAGTAACACTGGGTAGAGTGGTGTTACAATGAGGCTTTCCTGTATTATATAGATAGTGCTGACTAGCAGCCTTCCTGCTGTAAATAATGGCACATTTCCAAGTTATCAGGGCATTGCTGGTACACAGAAGTGAAAGTGAGAAATGATGGAGTCTTCTACTGAATAACTGTTGCCAAGTATATTTTGTGTAAATAATATACTTTGCTGTTTCAAATTTATTTACAGGGAATTGTTTCGAAAAGACATTGAAATATGGGAAAGCTCTGGACAATGGCTGTTCTCCTGTTATTCCTTTGCCAAGGAATATGCTTGTATTTCAGGTAAAACTTCTTGTGTTGATTGTATCTTCGCTTCTTTTATTCCACTTTATTCAGATTTTCCCAATGTTTCCCTTTTATTCACGGGTTCATCAACTATTCAAATGTCCTGCTCACCAGACTCCCCAGCTCTCCGATATACAAGCTGCAGACCATCCAAAACGCTGCAGCTCGTGTCCTCTCCTGTACCAGGCCATACAAGCCTATCACCTCCATCCTCGCTCAGCTCCATTTTGCCAGCAGATAAATCAAGATCCTGTCCTTGTGTTCAAATCCCACCATGGAATTCCCCACAAACTACCTCTGAGATCTGAGACTCTACTGCCTCAGGTGCTCCCTTCACTCAGCTAACATTGACCTGCTTCATGTATTGTGCCCGATCTGACCCACCCCTCCATCACAGAGATGGCTTTCAGCCATTCCGGCCTTGCTCTCTAGAACTCCAAAAAATTAATCTTGGAGCCCCTCTGTCTTGGCCCTTCCTCCTCCCCTCCCCCCTTTAAAGTCTGCCTTAAGACCTTTCTTTTCAATCACGCTTTTGGTCAGAATTCCTAGGTTGGCACATGCAGTAGATTCAGTGCAGTGTTTCTGAAATATTTTGTGTTAAACAGTTCAAAAGTATTATTTAACAATTAATGTGATCTTTGTAAATGTAAGTTTATTGTTTATCAACAACAACAAGATTGCATTTATAGAGCACCTTTCATGTCGGGAGGACGTCCCAAGGCGCTGGACAGTTGGGTTGGGACCTGAGCAGGGGGGAAATGGTCAGGGTGAGGGGAGGGAGGGAGCGAGGATGGGGTAGAGAGTTGAGAGGGGAGCTGAAGGCACAGTTGAAGAGAAAGGTCTTGAGACCGGCCTTGAAGGAGGAAAGGGAGGAGGCGGCGAAGGCACTGGGGGATGGAGTTCCAGAGCCTCGGGGCTGAGAGGCTGAAGGCCCGGCCACCGATGGTAGGGCGGTTGGGGCGGGGGATGTGGAGCAGACCGGAGCCAGAGGAACGGAGGGTACGGGCAGGTAGGTAGGGGGATAGTAGGTTGGAGAGGTAGGAGGGAGCAAGGCCGTGAATGGCCTTGTAGGTGAGGATGAGGATCTTGAATTCGATCCTCTGGGGGATGGGGAGCCAGTGGAGGCGAGCGAGGGTGGGAGTGATGTGGTCCGAAGCCTGGTGCGGGACAGTACACGAGCTGCAGAGTTCTGAATGACCTGCAGCTTGTGGAGGGAGGTGCGGGAAGGCCGGCGAGGAGAGAGTTCCCATAGTCCAGCCTTGAGGTGATAAAGGCGTGGACCAGAGTTTCAGCAGCGTGAGGGGTGAGGTAGTGCCGTAGTCTGGCGATGTTCCGGAGGTGATGGAAGGCGGTGCCAGTTGTGGCGCGGATATGAGGGAGAAAGGACAGCTCAGGGTCGAACAGAACCCGAGGTTCCTGACTGGCTTTGAGAGGTGGAGAGTGCAGCCTTGGATGCTGATGGTGTCAGCGCCTGAGGTGCGGAGGCGCTGACGTGAGCCAATCAGGAGGGCCTCAGTTTTGCGCACGTTGAGCTGAAGAAAGTTGTCTCTCGTCCAGGACTCGATGTCGGACAGGCAGCTGTCAGGACATCGGTGGTCGTGGAGTTGAGGGTAGAGGAGGAAAGGTAGAGTTGGGTGTCATCCGCATACATGTGGAAGTTAACCCCATGTCTGCGGATGATGTCACCAAGGGGGAGCATATAGAGGGTGAAGAGGAGGGGACCGAGGACAGAGCCCTGAGGGACGCCACATGATTCAGTGTGGGGGCCGGAGGAAAAGCCGTTTGCAGAGACAAAATGAAGACGGTGGGAGAGGTACGACCTAAACCACTCAAGGACAGGGCCTTGAAGGTTGAGGTGGGAGGACAAGCGGTGGAGGAGGATAGAGTGGTCGACCGTATTGAATGCGGCCGATAGGACGAGGAGGCAGAGGGATCCCTGGTCGTAGATGGTCAAGATGTCATTGGTGACCTTGACCAGGGCGGTTTCCGTGCTATGGGCAGCACGGAAACCCGACGGGAAGGGTTCGAAAAGTGAGTGGGTGGAGAGGAAAGAGCGCAGCTGGGAGGCGACCACTCTTTCTAGAACCTTGGACAGGAAGGGGAGGTTGGAGATGGGCCGGTAGCTTGATAGCTGCGACGCATCAAGGGAGGGTTTTTTCAATGTGGGAGTGATTGTGGCAGTTTTGAGGGGAATGGGAACAGAGCCAGAGGAGAGGGACAGGTTGATGATGTCTTTGAGAAGTGGGGCGAGGAGGTGGAGCTGGGAGATAAGGAGTGGAGTGGGGATGGGGTCCAGGGAGCAGGTGGTGGGTTTCAAGGACAGGAAGAGTTTGGTGACAGAGGGTGGGGAAACGGGTACGAAGGTGTGTAAGGGAGGATGGGTAGGGTCCATATCAAACTATGGAGTACAAAAAGATGTTTTTTTTCCTCCACTCTAGGTCTTGCTGAATTCTCCCCTGAAGAATTACGTCTGGAGTACTATAATACCAGGACTGGAGGCCACGTACAAAATTATGTAAGAATTGTTATTTTTAAGTCATTAAGGGACCTTTCTATTGTATTTATAGAACACTAGCTGTGACCATTACAGCTTCGCTTGCAACCAAAAGATTCAACATGGAATGTAAATTGACACATAGACAGATGCACTGACTTATCCTTAAAAGGTTTGATTTTCGCTCGAGGCATCTTTATAATGATAGATATAAATGTATAATCTATAATCACTGGGACGTCCTCTCAACGTAAAAAGCGCTATAACAATGTCATGTTGCGGTGGTTGTCGGGGCTCAGCTTCGTCTGTGTTCTTTGTTTTGTTCCCGCCGCTTGGCTGCGTGCGCGCTCTGTGACGTAGGATGTCACAGCACCACGGTTAGTCACCACGGTTAGTCACCACGGTTAGTCACCACGGTTAGTCGGCTCAGCCACCAGGTGTAACCGCAGTGCTTACCTGGATAGGTATGTTGCTCTGTGACGCACGGTGCGCAGTGCCCCATTTGACTTGGTGGCCACCAGGTGTAACTGCAGAAAAAAAAAAACTGCGTAACTGAAATACATTGTAGGTCACAGCTCATGATCGGCCAGGGTTGCATACTAGCAATGTGGGTGAATATTTGGGAGTATTTGCTTAAGTACACTTGGGCATTGGTACACAAGCCTTCAATCATTCGCTCTAGAATTCCATTGAGAGTCAAAGTCCCTTCACCTTTTCCGTCCCTCCCTGCCTTCAATTTTTTTTTAAATTGGCCACTTCGATCCCTGACTGTTTGTGGGACACTGCTGTGCTCAATTGGCTGCTGTGTTTTGCCCACAAAATATACCGTCAAGTCACTTTACAGTATATTCTGTGAAGCGATGTGAGAAGGCGCTATATCAAATGCAAGGATTATTATCATTATCTCAAGACCTATCTTTTCAACCACTGTTTTGGCAGTTTTCCACCAACCAACCTCCACCTGCCCTCCCCCCGCCCCCCACACGAGCTTGGGCTTCCAGTCTGCTGTGTGAAGTCCTTTGAACCGCATGACATGAATACACTATATAAATGTCAATTGTTGTTATTGTCCATATTATCTTTGTTTGATCTTCTGCATTTAAGAACTCGTGCTCTGTGTCACTATGTTCGTTGCACTTTGATGGAACATTGTGGTTAAATATTGTAAGATCATAATAAATTCTTGAATAAGGAGATAACAACAGGGATGGTTTATAATGTACTTACGGTTTACAATGGAAGTAGCAGAATGGGGATAAAACAACAGTGACTATGTTGCTATCATTTGTCGGAGGGAAATTTCTGTTTTTCAATCAATTTTCAATGACCAATTTTACAACAGCAGAAGGGGATTTCACTACAGTTCAGTTTTCTTTCCTTGAGCACAGAGGTTGTCTCAAATACAGGCAAAAACGCAAGAAAATAAATGGCAGTGGTTACTGTTTGACTAGTGTTCACTGGATCAGTGTAATTTTATAAACATTCCATTATAGATGATGGATGCTCTGCAATTTGCAGTTGATTAATGTCCTGGGGTAACAAACAAATCTTCAGTTCTGCTGTGTTTTTATGTAGGTCGATTCCATTGCACAATTATCAAATCTACAGCGGAGCAAAATGGCTGAACTGAAGAAGCCAAATCCATCCACAAGATCAATGCTGGTAAGCTACAGAGGGCTTTGAAGGCTCACTTCCATTTAGCTGATGAAGCTAAATAGTTTCCGAAGTATAATGAACAGTGATTTAATCTAGACACGAGAGGCATTTTAACATTTCATGTGGTTGGACACTGATCTTATTCACTATTTGTGTGTTTAGATTCAATATAATAAAGCACAAGGAGAAGGCACTAAATTGCATCTTAGTTTGTGGTGATTTTTGACAAGAATATTCCCTCCCAGAATATTTTCTGTGAGGGAAGAGAGAGGGCACATTTGAGCACTAAGAAGACGATGTCAGAGCTTGATAATGGAACATTTTAAATCTGACGCTTGTTTGAGGAAACGCATCCCCTGGCCTGGCCAGATACAGCATACCTCCCCCAGCAATGTCTCTCATCTTTAAGAAAAGTTCCCTAGCTGCACCAGGAATCAACCTAGCTCAGTTGGTAGTTTCTCAGAACATTTTCAGTGGTTTCAAGCGTTCCGGGTTCAAGTCTGCTAATACTCCAGTGCAATGCTGGGGGGGTGCTGCATTGAAGGTGCCATCCTTTGAATGAGATGGTAAATCAAGGATTCTGTCTGTTCGCCTGATGTTTTTGAAAAAAAGTTTCTCCCAGTATCCAGCCAAAGAGACTTCCAGATTAATTACTCATTCAATCAGAGTCTTTTATGAAACCATTTAAGATGTTGCTATAGCAAAGGCATGGATGATTATTATTATTATGTAGATTTTTCACTTCACATCGACTATCTCCTGCGTCCACTAGAAGCTGAGTTCAGACTCCAAAATGTATTTCACAAAGTACCTATACAGCCAATATTCACCTTCAACAGAACCTATATGAAGCCGCCTACAGTACAAGTAGGACACCAACTTACTAATCCCCACCTGTTACTGATTTCTGTCAATTGTCAGGACATAAATAAGACAGCTGTCTATATAATACTGGATGGTGGAGTGGATATGATGTCCTGTTTAGTTCTCTAGTACAGTGCAAGTGGTGTCCATTATTTTTATTTAAATAAAACTGCTTTATTTTCTATCCTAACCACATATTCATTATCTCCTTTCTTTGATCAGTTAGAAGAACTGAAAAGGCCCAACCAGAAGAAACCTTCGTTAGGTTTTGGTGGAGCGCAAGTGTCATCCTTTGGCTCCTCAGGTGAGTCTCCAGTGTTCTATTCCCATGAGGAGTTGCATGTGGAAGAAACCCCCTGACTTGAATTTTCCAAAGGAGTTAATTGGGTAGTGATTGGGAGGGGATCCCTGGTTAGACTATTCTTTCACTTCAGGGACCTGGGTTCAAGTCAAGTTCAGGCTGATGAGAGAAATGTTTGCTGCATTGATTATGGTCCTGAGAAGCCAGTTATTAATGGACGTTCGCTAACAGCAACTGGCCTTACTTCAGTGATGATTGTTAATCTCATGCTGAGAATCCACAGACAACTGTGGGAGCCAGATACTACCGCACTAGCAGTAGTTTAGTCAGGTGTACTGAGGTTCGGATTGAGGATTCTTTTTGATTTTTTTTGTTCAGCTGGGTGTCTTGACACATATGGAAACCTGTTACCGTGCTCTAGATTATTCAAACATGACTGAGGTCAACATATGAATGCTACCTAAACATGGAAATTTACCCTTTTCTGTGATGGAATGCTCACTCTTTCCCTGGAGGACAGACCCTGCTTACCTAATTCTGGAGGAGAGTATTAGCTGCAGGTTTGCAAAGGTCAGGCTTGGGGACACTAGTTTGTGTTGGGGTACTGCTGGAGTCTAAGCAACTAAAACTAAATAATATTCCTTGGTGAACACTGTCTGGCAAGCTTCTCACTGCTTTTCCAGCTAGGAACCACCCTACCCAGTTGGCTTGCAAGGTTAACAAGAGTCGAGTGGGATGATTTTCTGTGAACTTTGAAGCAAGATGAATAGATTTTAAGTAAATATTTTTGAGCTTTATGTACTTAAGTTTGAAAGTTCTGCTCATAACAACATGTCTTCCTTGGGCTTTACCCTGCAGATGTGGCATGATCAGAACTGGGCAAATTTTGTTTTCAACACTGATGGACCTTGTTGCGCATTTCCTGCTTTTATTTTAGACTTTCAACATTTGTGGGGTTTTTTCAATTGCTGTGCGCAATTGGCTGCCATATACATTTTGCATATTTTATATAATGTTTTATTTTTCTGTAAAGCACTTTGAGATGTCTCAACGACGATGATAAGGAACTATGTCAAATGCAAAGATTATTTATTATATTCTTTGTTTGATTCCCTTACTCTGATTTGTTTATCTCTAAAGGTTTTGGCTCAAGTCCAGCAAATAGCAACACGTTCAGCTTCAGGCCCAGTGCTGGACTGGCAGATCCCACAACATCCTCTTGCTTTGGAAACCCTGCGTCCTCCTCTCCTGCTCCATCATCATTTGGAGCTAAGGCAGCTTCCTCAGTGTTCGGAAACACGAGTGTGTTTGGAGCGAGCCCCACACCAGCTCCAGTCACTTCCATATTTTGTACTACTGCACCTGGTGCAGCTCCATCTTCTGTGTTTGGAAGTTCAGCTCCGTTTGGAAGCAGCAGTTTTGGGAACCCAACTGCATGTACATTCTCTTCGAAACTGGAGAAACCCGAAAAGGCAACAACAAATGGGTTTGGAACCTTGGAGCCAGCCACACTATCCTCCACTGTATGTCAGCCCCAAAGCACACCATTGAGCAGTAGTTCTGTCAATGGGCATGGTAAATTGTACACACCTCGGTCTGAACTCTCAGCAGATGATCTACGAGAGTTTGAAGCAAAGAGGTTCACCCTGGGAAGAATACCTTTATGGCCTCCACCCATTGAGCTGCTGAATGTGTAAATCTTGACACACTTGAGGCATTTGCTTGCCATGCTTGGCTGCGGTAACCCTTCACTGAGTGCACACTCAGTCATTTTCTGTAATACCAATTATAGTGACAATGGTGACCGCAATCATTTTCTGAATTTGCCTTCGATTTTTGTTTCCATCAAAATTGGGGATTTAATGTGGCTGCAATTTCATAGAGATGCTTGTTTTGATTTCCTTTTCCCTATAGACTTCACAGATGCTTATCTCTTCCATGTTGTTCTGAATAGAAGTTGATAATCATCAGTCTGAGGCAGATGTGTCCTTTTATCTCCCATCTTCCAGACCCAACACAGCTGGAAAAACTATGCATTTTAGTAAGAGGGTTTAAGATAAGGGTGTTCTTGTAACCTGAAGCTATTCATTATGAAGAATATTCAGATTTATTTGCAAGGATGTAAGGTTTGCCTGCACTCTGTCATTGGTCCCTAACTGATAAAGTGGCCTGGATTGACATGGCACCTTTTCTCTCCCAAACCCCATGGATGTTGAAGCCAATTATTGGCCTCGTTCCACCGTAGTTAAAAACCAGCTAGCTCAGCACAGCCCAGGTATTGAATAAACTTTTCGTATCAAATGTGTTTTGCAAAGGTTAGCACAGGAGAACGTAGCAAGTGCAGGTTAAGAGGCATAAGCTTTGAAGGTCTATGCAAAGTGATTAAGCAAACCAATACAAAATATAGTTAGGAAAAAAGTGAAATAGTCAACTGTGAAGGATTGTTTTATTAGCCAAAGTATGTTGACAAATAGAATTGTATATTTGCAATTAGCAAGATATAAATTGCAGATATGCATTCTTGAATAAATGTTTTTGCTACTGGTCAGGAGGTCTGAGTACTCTGCAGGCTGTTCTACATTCAAGTACTAAATATTTTAAACTTGCTTTTATTACTTGTATCCTAGTAAATAATAAGTGAAGCTTACTTGCTTTTTAATATATAATATATATACTTTGTCATATTCAATATATGCGGACGAGTCATGGTAATGACTTGCTCAATACAAAGATGAGAGAGAGTTGCTTCTCGGCAGAGGTGCTAAACGTCAAGCATGGGGGAGGAGGGAGTTGAGCATGGTGGTCATTGAGTGGTGTGACAATGGTTTTTAGACAGAGAATGGTGATTCACTCTATTTTCAGAAGAGAGAATAGAAAGAAATGGTAAAGTTATTTAAACAGGACAGAACCGACTTCTGGAAACAAATAGACCCTTTGACACAACTTTATTATAGAACTAACTAGCAACTACTACTTGTGCTCCATTATTAATCTGGGCTTCTCTTTCTCCTTTGGTCTCAAGTGGAATATTCATCTCCTTGTATTGCTAATGCTACTTTCAAGAAGCTTGCTTTCCTACTGAATGCTTAACATTTATTTTCCAACAACTCTTAGCTTGCTATAAAGCCAAAGTCTGTCCAAAATGAGAACACTGCTTACATATCTTGGAAGGCTCTTTTTAACCCTTTCCTCCCATTCCTCGACACAGACTAAGAAAAGTTTTGTTGTCTGAGAAGTGTTGAAATGTCTCCTACTTAATTCTTTCCTCAGACTTCAAGCCTTAACTCCTTACCTTCCCCAGTCTGCGTCTTACTGCAATCTACAATCTTGATATAATCCAGCCACTTGATTTGAACTCTCTTTTTCAACCTTGATGTACTATCTTGCCAATTCTTGTCTATTTCTCAATCTATTAATAAAAATATTTTGTCCATGCATGTCTTGTTCTTTTCTGATACGTCCATCCAGCACTCAGCTTGTGTGTGTGTGAGAGGGAGGGCAAATGAGAGAGATCATGCTTTCCTGTCTAGTTTGGTCCATCTTATTCGTCATAATTAATATGATAAGCAACTAAGGTGGTTGAAAGTTACAATGTTTCCTGCATTCTGAGTGTATTTTGAGAATTAAACTGGGCAAACAATTTTTAGTTTCTTTCTCATGTTTTAAGTACTATAGTGAAATTAGTTCACAAAAGTCTACAAGGCTGAGTTTGTGCATTCTCCAAGCTCAGAGTACGGTTAAATTTTGAGAATATTTATGGATTCTAGGATCACAAATATAGAACATTGTGTATTATGCTGATCAGTGTAAGACAATTTGCAATGAGTGACCATGGTCATCAGTGGATTACTGTCATGGTCTTCAATGGCTATAGTATATGCAAAGAAGTAATCAATACATTTTGTTTCAGTTACTGTTGTGATTAATGAGCTACATTTTACATCATGGTGTATCTACAATTAAAAAGTGGTGTCCATTCCTTATTTTGTCTGGTAACTTTCTTTTAACGATTTTTTTGCATTTATAGTAACTGACTGATGATGGTTGAAAACAGATTTTAAGAATACATTTGAAGTGTTTATGGATCTGGGTACTACTGGATATTGATTGCAGAGCTTGTTGATGCAAAAAAAAAAATCACATGGAATGAATTCTGGAGTTGAGGGACTGGCTTGTAAAGTGTTCTACCAAATTCAGCTCAGTACAGATTCCTTAAGGATCCCACATAATTACCTCCCTCTCCCATTTTGTCCTGTTTCTAGTCTTCCTAATAACTAATCTTTGATTCCCTTCAGCCAATTTTGATTCCAATGTCTGATGAGATTGATAGCAATTATGTCAATTTGTCAAGGAATCTCATGTTCTTTTATCAAATGCCTTTTGGAAGTAATATAATAATCCTTGCATTTGATATAGCACCTTAACACGTCTTAAGAGATGTCCCAAAGCCTTTCATGTCGGGACGACATCCCAAGGCGCTGGACAGAGTACAGCATTTCAGACACGAGGTGGGGTCAGTGCGGTGGGAAGGGGGGTGGCCGATGGCACGGTCGAAGTTGATGGGACTTGGAGGGGGCGAGGCAGAGTGATTGGGGAATGGAATTCCAGAGGTTGGGGGCAGAGTGGCTGAAGGCTCTCCTGCCAATGGTGGAGCAGGGGATGTGGAGCAGGCCAGAGCCAGCAGAGCAGAGGGAATGGGCGGGTTGGTAGGGTATTAGGAGGTCGCAGAGGTAGTGTAGGGCGAGGCCATGGAGGGCTTTTTGGTGAGGACCAGGATTTTGAACTGGATCCTCTGAAGGATAGGGAGCCAATGGAGTTGGGCGAGAATGGGGGAGATGGGGTCATGGAGTTTGGTGCGGGAGAGGACACAGGCTGCAGAGTTCAGGATTATCTCCAGCCTGTGGAGGGAGGAGTTGGGAAGGCTGACAAGCAGGGCGTTTGCATAGTCGAGCCTGGAGATGATGAAGGCATGAATGAGTTTCACGGGCCTGAGGGGTGAGGTAGTGGCGGAGTCGGGTGATGTTACGGAGGTGAGGGAAGGCAGAGCGGGTCATGAACATCTCCTCAACCTCATCACTACAAGCAGAGGAATTAGTCATAAATGTGTAAATATCATCCATTAATCCTAGGAGGAGATGCTGAAGGACACCCCCCAGGCCTGATGTAAACCACATGCATCCCCACTCTGGTCACTCGCTCGTAAAATTCAAACACCTAGATAACATTGTATTATGTGTCTTCACACAGTCAATATGGGTCATCACTTTAAAAATGTTTGAGGTTAGTCAGACATGAGCTACACTTTACCCCTTCTGAATCTGTACTGGTTGTAATTTATCGACTTATTTTATACAGGTAATATTCCATTTTCTTTGTGATGATTAATTCCAATTATTGAGGTCAGGATAACGGTTCTGTCAACTTTGTTGAATATGGTAAGCAGATTCGCTTGCTTCCAGTCTTTTGGAACCTCACCAGTAGCGATTGACTTCCTCATAATCTTGTGTCCCATTTTCATAAATCTCTTGCCTCTGAATACCTGGGGGTATATCTGTCTTGGAGGATTTAATTTTCAACCCTTTGAACCTTTCTAGAATCTCAGTCTTATTGTTATTCATCCTCTGTATGAAACACAATTACTATATTCTATATTTCTGAATAACATCAACCGTATAGTTTGAAATAGAACTGGAATGCTTTTTCTCAAATGAAAAATGTGAAGTTTTAGGCTATATGATCTCAGTGGTCACCTATAAAGGTCAGAACTATTTGTTATGCAAAATTATAATAATAGTAATCCTTGCATTTGATATAGCGCCTTATCATGTCTTCGAGACATCTCAAAGTGCTTCACAGAATATACTGTAAAATATAAATTACAGTATAAAAATAAATAAAAAATAAAAATATACATTTTTGTCAAATATTCTTTTAAAATATATATACAGCAACTTACTTTGATATAGCGCCCTACACGGGGGTTGTGTCTTGGAATGCTTAAAAGTGGCAGAATTTGATGATGAGCCAAGAAAAGGTGGGAGGAGACGGTAGGGACAATCAAAGAGAAAGGTCTTTGGTGTGATCTGAAGTCAGGTAAGAAGGGGACATAGCAGAGTGACTGGGGTAGGGAGTTCCAGATTTAAGGGCTTAGTGACTAAAAGCATAGCCACCGATGGTGGGGCAGAGGTATATGAGAGACATGCAGAAGGCTGGTGCCAGCTGAGCAAGATGGGGCAGGTAGAAGAGTAGGGCGTATATTAATCTGGTGTAATGGATAACAATCATATTGCAAAATTCTACATTTCTGAATAATATAATTTAAGGTATGTAACAAATAATAATAATAATAACAAAATGTATTAATGAATTAAGAGGAAAATCATTGCATTTCATTTATCACATAGTCAAAACATTTCAAGGTGTTTCAACGGGATTTCTGTAAAGTGCAGTGACTGTTTTTGAATTTATGGACACATATTGCCAGACTTTAATCTGATTCCATATGATTTGATGGGGTTTTAAAATAATGTAATCACATGATTGTTAAACAAAACAAGCTCCAGTCAGCTGTACCATGTGGTTTCAATATGTGTGCCTGACTGACTTCTTCATGTTACCTAAGCCAAAAACCTCCTCTCCCACTTGATCATGAGCTTCATTCTCGAAAGTTCTGCACTTTGTAATATTTCTATGAGCATATAATAGCCTTTCTTTATTACTGTTATATGCTGTACACTACCACTCAGAAATAATACAATGCAGTCCATATTCAGTTTATAAAATTCCTATTAAATTGTTTGTTCAAATAATGTTTTTTTAATGTTTTAGTAAATGCACATTTTGACTATTAACTGTCACTTCCGTAGAAATTCTTTGGAAAATAGATTTGTGATTAGTGGAACTGCAAGTCTCTATGATTTTCCCTACTTGAAGACCTCTTTGTTTTAGAAGTATTGTTTAAACAGATAGTCTTAGAAATTATGGTAAATTTGACTCAGTGAGACTATGCTGGTCTTTGTTTCTCCACAAGACCACATTTGCTGATACCCAGGATCAGAAACTGAGACCTTCAGATCTTCAGTCTTCTTCCAACTGAGTAAATTCAGGAGTAATGAAATAACATGTTCCAGAGTTACTCAATTGAAATGACGGAAGCAATAACAACAAATTTATAAATACTGGTGAAATATTTATAAATACAAATGCAGGGTGAAACTTTAGTCAAGGTTTCTTACTCCACACTCCTCTGTTTACCCAGCAATAAGTAGGAACACGATTGTCAGTCGATTGGCGGATCACTCTCTGGGGGTAATAATCCCCCCCAAAATTGTCACTCACTCCACGACTGTTTGTGAGACATTGCTGTGGGCATTTGGCTGCTGCATTTCACCTACAACATACAGTCAACCCACTTTACAATATATCCTGTGAAACACTTGAGATGTCTCAATAAGGCGCTATATCAACTACAAGGATTATTATAAAGAATATCAGCAAGGAAGCAGACTTGGTCCAACCAGTCTGTGCTGTGTATATAACTCTTCATGAGGGATAACAACTTGTAGGGCTGAAAAAGAGAAAAATTGTGGATCGAACCAACTTGTGTGATATTACAGATATCTACTCACAGATATCATAAGTCTCTCCCTGTCTACTGGCAATGTTCCCTTTGTTCCTTTAAAAACAGTCGTCACCTTGCCACCTTCAAGACCCATCTCAAGACCCTCCTCTTTGACCATGCTTTCGATCACCCTGATTCCGCCCCTGCCCTCCACCTTCCCCAATCCCAACCCCCAGCTCGAGTCTGAAACACTTGACTATCCAGTGCCTTGTAACATCCTCCCGACATGAAAGGTGCTATTCAAATGTCATTTTGCTGTTGTCGTCGTTGTTCTTGTAAGATATATATTCTTCTTTGATCCTGTACACTAGTCTGATCTCATCAATCCCAGTTTCCCAAACAATATGGATTCCTTGGAACTGATTTTGTTGACCCAAATCTTTCTGACTGGTTTCTTATCTGTGTTGAGCTGTGGTCTTGTGTTGTTCTGCAGATATTTAAATAACATTAGATTAAAGAAGCTAAACAGCAATTAAGGGGTTGAAGGGGGGTGTTAAATTTGCAGAGGCATTGTGAGAAAACAATTGAGGTAAAAAACACGAAATGCAATCGGTCAGAGTTGGTTAGAATCTAGTTACAAATAGACAAGGAGGAATTGATGACAAAATGTCTGGTGCTTGAACTTTGTATATTGGGTTATGCCTTAACCATATATGGGTAAAACAGATTGCAAATTAAGGTATAAAACCTGTGCACTTAGCATAAGAGTATTGAAGGGAGGCAAGTAAAGAAATGAACAGCGTCAGCTCGCTTCCCAGAGGAACTGGGTAATACCGTTTTCTCTGTAAAACTACCCCTTTAATCATCGTGTAGGTTAACTTTGTACTTGTTGGCTGAATAAAATTGCTTGTCATTGCACCACCATTTTGGTAGTCTCCTCTGAATCCCTCGCTGACTTACATTACAAAGTACATTTTACAGTAAATCCTGTGAAGCTCTTCAGATGCCCTCCTGACATAAAAGGGGTGACATCAAATGCAAGGATTACCATTAATATTTAAGAACCGTGAAGAAGGCTAATTAAATAAAAAAGTGATATGTTTAAATAAAAACAAACTGGAGCTAAACTGAGAATTTTTAAAATTACAAAATTTCCCCCACCCCAATCCTTTCAGTCTCAAAAAGTTAATTTAATGAAACCATAATTTAATTTAAGATGAGAAGTTGGTCAGCTGGCAATGATTTTATTTTTTTTCACGAGGATTCCAGCAAGCAACCACTTAAGGCAAATTTTAATAAAAACGTCAGAGAATTAGAAACATGTCGTTTTTATTTAGAAAAACAAAACAACAAACTGACTATGAGGAAATGTACTTGCAAAGTTCCTTCTTTTATTTGGGGATTCTGGTATATTTGTT